CCCTCAACAAAAGTCTGCCCCCTCTAACACAAATCCTAGCTACGCCCATGTTAAGGTCCCACTCTGCAGCCCGTGGAGCTCAGCTTCAAATCCCAACTGCTGAACCTTGATACTTCCTGGTCCCTTTGCCCTTTCGGTGCATATCAAAGAACCACCACAGAAGTATCATTTTTAAGGTTCCTTCCTTCCTAAGGAGCCGTAGCAGTTCAACAGGCCTTAAAGGTAAAGGGACCCCTGACTATTAGGTCCAGTCGTGACCGACTCTGGGGTTGCGGCGCTCATCTCGCTTTATTGGCCGAGGGAGCCAGCATACAGCTTCCGGGTCATGTGGCCAGCATGACTAAGCCGCTTCTAGCGAACCAGAGCAGTGCACAGAAACACCGTTTACCTTCCCGCCAGAGTGGTACCTATTTATCTACTTGCACTTTCGAACTGTGCTTTTGAATTAGATTAAATGTGTTGTGTAGACATGCTAGGAATCAAGCAAGCCTTGATTTTTCAGTGCCACATTCAGTAACCACCTAGCTGCCTTGTAAGTATTGTTTAACCAAAGTAAGATGGCCTATGCATCTTGCTACAATGGCACATCAGTTCCATCTGTGGGCAGCTGCTGAGTGTACATGCCACTTGGGGGGCAATTCTCTTTCTTGTTTAATTCTGCACTGGATTACAGCCTAGCTCAAATATATATAGTACATGTAACAAAAGCCTGCAAGAAGTCTACTACTGTGTATTAAACATTGTGGCCAACAATCCTTAAACTGACATGTTTGCATAGGATTGAACTGGTTTGTATTAAGAACCGTAAATATTGTTTACATTACTGCTGATACTTTGCCTCTTTCCAAGGGGAGTAAATTATTTGTAACACTGGCTGCATGCATGGCTGCTTCAAGGCATTTTGCTGTCTGAAGTCAAGATGACAACCCTCCCCATTCCATGTACAGAAGCTGACTGCATGGAGAGCTGAATCTTACTGGTACTCCAATACTGGTGACAGGATCGCATGCTGCACTTACTTGGAACATCAGGCTAGTTTAGGGAGCTATGAACAAGCTGGTGTGGCATATTTTTCCAACAGAAAGGAATGGTTGGATACTTCAGATGCCCACAGCCACAGTGAAGCTGCCACTGTTCCTCAGGACCTCTGGCCCAAGTCCATCATCTCACTCTGCCTTTTGTGCCTATAGTAGAAAATTTCTCAGTACCTGCATTTTGCAGAGGTAAAGGCAGGTTGGGATGGCCAATCAGGAAAACGGCAGAACCAGGGAAATGGCAGAAAGGAAAGGATTAAGCAGTCCCTTTCTTTCAACAGTTGTCCACTCAATATTGCAGCCTCCTGAGCCGGGTGTTGGTTTAAAATGAAACGGGGGAAAGATAAACGCAACTGCTTCCCTAATGCAGTTTCAGTCTCAGAAATCTCCAAAGTGGGTTTTAAATATTTATGAAAATTATGCTTACATTTGGAAAACGCCCTGTTGTGCCCCAACGTGATTTTGAATGCATCCTTTACGTGGTGTATCATAATACAGAAACCCGAAGTCGTGTTTCTTAAACCAAATGAAAATAAAAACAATTCTTTTTTTATGCTACATTGTCTGATGTTGATTTTAGAGTCCAATCAATTGTGCTGCAATTTGGCATTTGCTTTTCCATTTTGAAATAACTTTTGTTTAAATATTAAGCAGGTACTTCTGTATGAGCCTAAAAGGTTATTAAACGTGGTCGAGATGTCTGTGTCGTCTCTAGTTTGGCTCTACATTGTCACATTATCTGTGATCTCCTTTTACCACACATCAGTGTTCCAAATGGGGAACATCCAACAAGTCCATTAATAAAACGCATTAGTGCCCCAAGGGGGAAAGGATGATGAATCCCTAGTTATTTCTGTGGCTAAGAAAATACATTGTGGCAATAGCCAGAACTTCAAACACACCCGCACTTCTTGGGCGTGAGGTTTTCTATTCATTCAGTGGAATGTTGCTACAGTCCTCGAATCCACATAGAATCTACATGCCTAGGAGGCTTGCCTTCACAAGGGTGTGGGCTGATGGTCATGAGACAATTGTCATGAGAACAAGTACTCAGAGTGAGGCAAGTGACTGTTTCAAATGGAGAGGGAGAGGTTTTTTATTTATGTGCCTTTATTAATGTCGTGCTGTCACACACTGTCATTTAATCATTAATTATGAGTTGTTTTTTAATTGGAATTTGTTGTTTCCTACTTTTGAGTGTTCAAATCACACATTATCTTGTTACAACTCTTAGAACGACTCTGAAGGGCAGGACCCATTTTAAAGATGTGGAGCTGGGTGTTAGAATAAGAGCTTGCCTTAATACCACCCAGCAAATTCACTGCTAAAATCTGGGGCTTCCTGATTTGTCTCACAGCCCATTCAGCAGCTCTTATTATATTATTTGCCACAAAGAGTTAATTGGCCACAGAAACAACATGATAGCCTGTCTGTGTACAAAGCTTAATGGGTAGCCTAATATTCTTCCATAAGTGGCAACTCCATATCAGTTTTTCTAAAAGATCAAAATAAATAAAAATCCCTGAATAATTGAGTGCCGTGATAGAAAAAGACCTGATTCCACAGGACAATTCCAGTGCTTCTAATTAATCAGAGTAATCCAACCTGAATTATCCAGGATATGAGAAGCTTGGCTTCCTAGTATCTAATTCTGAACTGACACAAAACTATGGGCACCTAGTCATGGATATTATTGGAAGCAGAATTCTATTTATTCACCCTGGGGTTGGCAGCATCCAAGACAGCAACACTAATATGATCGTAAGTGCAAACAAGTGCAAAGCTCTCAAGGGAGTCAGTGACATGTCCTTTCCAAGGGCTTTTGAAATATTAAGCTTGAGATACGTGTGTGCATGCATGCTGCTGAGTGAGAGATCCATAGCTCACTCATAAAGCCCATGATTTTCAATGCAAAGCACCCCATGTTCAATTTCCACCATCTCAAAGCATAGGGCTGGGAAAGAGTCCCTGTCTGACATCCTGGGCAGCCATTGCTAACCATTCTGGGTTGGATGGACGATGTTCTGGCTCTACAAGGTATCTTCTTACATTCCTATGAACATCTGACCTTCTAGCTGTTGCTGGACTACAACTCCCATCATCTCTGACCACTGATCACGCTCCCTGATGGGACCTAGAGTCCAACAACATCTGGCAAAATGCAGATTCTCCACAGCCTACAGAGGGGCTAGCCTTCTTATTCTGTTGCAGCAAGAATAGCCATGGTTGTTAACACTTATGGTGGCACAAGCTTTGGTGGGCTGTCAATCACTTCATAGAATCGTAGAGTTGGAAGGGACCCCAAGCGTCATCTAATCCAACCCCCTGCAATGCAGGAATGTCAGCTAAAACATTTATGCCATCCAACCTCTGCTTAAAAACCTCCATGGAAGCAGAGCTCGCAATCTCCTGAGGGAGTCCATTCCACTGTTGAACAGCTCTTGCTGTCAGAAAGTTCTTCCAAATGTTCAGTCAGAATCTCCTTTCTTGTAACTTGAAGCCATTGGTTCAGGTCCTAGCCTGTGGAGCAGGAGAAAACAAGCTTCCATGTGATGGCCCTTGAGATATTTGAAGATGGCTGTCATCTCTCTTCTCAGTCTCCACTTTTCCAAGCTAAGCATTCCCAGCTCCTTCAACTGTTCCTCATAAGGTCTGGTTTCCAGACCCTTGATCATCTTGGCTGCCCTTCCTCTGCATATGTCCCAGATTGTCAACATCCTTCTTAAATTGTGGTGCCCAGAATTGGACACAGTACTCCAGGTGGGGTCTGACCAAGGCAGAATGGAGTGGTACTATGACTTCCCTTGATCTGGACACTAAACTTCTGTTGATGCAGCCTAGAATAGCATTAGCTTTTTTTGCTGCTGCATCACACTGTTGACTGGTAGGATGCGAGTGGCACTGAGCCTCTTGGGCTTGCTGATCAGAAGGCAGTTGCTCTGTCCCAGCTCCTGCCAACCTAGCAGTTTGAAAGCATGCCAGTGCAAAGAAAGAAAGATGTTAATTGATTAAGTTAATTTTATTGGAAATTAGTATTGGAAAACTGCTACAATGAGCTACATGGAAACACAGCTTGAGTGATTTGAGGAAGTCATTTAATAAGGGTTATAAAAGTATGATTATAACAGGTGGGATAAATGTTTGTATGTTTGTTATATTGTAATGTTTTTTCTTTTATGTTGCTTATGCTTGTTATAAAATTGGAAAATTAATTTAAAAAGTGAAAAAAAGAAAGAAAAGAAAGCATGCCAGTGAAAGTAGATAAATAGGTACGGCTGTGGTGGGAAGGTAAACGGTGTTTCCATGCGCTCTGGTTTCTGTCATGGTTTTCCGTTGTGCCAGAAGCGCATGCTGGCCACATGACCCGGAAAGCTGTCTGTGCACAAATGCCGGCTCCCTCGGCCTAAAGCGAGATGAGCCCCGCACTGCATATTCGCCTTTGACTGGACTTAACTGTCCAGGGGTCCTTTTGCATCAAGTAAGCAAGGGGTTTCTCTTTCAATGTCACAGATCTGCATGCTTTTACTGGCACAAAGCTGCCAGCATTTAATGGGCAAAGCTGAGGAATCGCTTGTCGCAGCCAAACGCACCAGAGGGACTGTCCCAGCCGAATAGGCGCCAGTATCCAGGTAAGCTTAGCTCCAGGAAATCTCCAGTTATCGAGATGTGGAGTCTGCGCGGGCTTTCCTCGCTGTCGTGCCTGCTCCTCACCCCTCAGGTAGTTGGCCTGTCTCCCCCTTCCCCAAGAAACGGCAACTGAGGGAGGGGGTGACGTGCCGGGCGCTCCATTCCCCCGCCCCCTCCCTTCGCCCCAGAGATTTGGCGCGCAGCAGCCGCCGGTGTGTTTCCGACCGGTTGGGCGGGCGCGTGTCTATTTGCAGCCCTGCCTGTGCCTCGTGTGGGTGACCTTCGGTGAACCCGAGGCGGGTCTGCCGGCGGCACCACCTGTCCCGGCTGAGGGAGGGGAAAGAGAGCGGAACACTCTGAGGCAAAGCTGGGAGCCACCACCGGCCTCGGACCCTGCCCGGACCTCCTTCTCCTCCTAGCGCCGGAGCAACCAGCCTCGCGCGCGCCCTGCCCGGCACTGAAAAGCGCCTGGCGAGGCGACACGGGTTGGGCGAGGCGGACCCTCGAGAAAGGGGCGGGGCCAGCAAGCGGCAGGTGCGCGCGAGCTGCCCGCCTCCCGGCCGCGTGACGCCTGTCTCCCCCTACAGGCGGCGAGCGCAGGACCCCCAGACGCCTCACAGCGCCGCCGACCATGGCGCAGCTGAGGCGAGCGGGGAGCCGCGCGCTCCTCCGCTCCCTTTCCTAGCCGCGCCTGAGGGAGGGAAAGCGGCGGCAGCTCCACGAGATGGGCGCTTCTCGGGGCCCCGGCCGGGCGGGCCCCTGGCTGGCGCTGCTGGCTTGGCTTCTGCTGCTTTTGCCAGGCGACGTCTCCTTCGCCCTGTCGGAAAGCGGAGCGCCCGAGCCGGCGGCGATGCTGGGCGTCAGCCCCACGCCCGGGGCGGAGACCCCTGCGCCTGCGCCGCCCAGCGGGACCCCCTTCGAGGAGACCAGGCTGCACGTCTTCACCTTGGATTACCTGCACGTGAGGGTGCCCTTCGAGATCACTCTGTGGATCCTGCTGGCTTCTTTGGCCAAGATCGGTAAGGGGCGGGAGAACCCCACCTGGTCGATTTCGAGTTTTGCTTGCTTTATTCAAGAGGGGAACAGGCGTGTTGCCCCCATCCAGCTTGCGGTTGATCTCCAAGTAGCCCCCTTTTCCCAGTCTACGCCCTGTTCTGTGGGGAGACAGAATCAGAGTTGGAAAGGGACCCAGGGGTCATCTAGTCCAACCCCCAGCAATGCAGGAAGTTCAGCTAAAGCTGGTGGCTACCCCAACCTCTGCTTAAAAACCTCCAAGGAATCTGAATTCAGATTGAAATTCCCAGGTGTCAAAAAAGGTTATTTATGTATGCCACTACTGTGGCATCCGGTGTTTTGTTAGCCAAAAAATGGAAAACTAGTGAGGTCCCAACCAAAGAAGAATGGCAGGTTAAGATGGCAGAATATGCACAGCTTGCAGGCTTAACATATAGAATAAGAGAAGGAGAAGAACATACGTTTAGATTGGGAAACGTTTATTGAATATATGGGCTGAAAATGCTGGCAGCATTAAGATAAATTCAACAAGTTTTGACGGATGTAATAATGGAATACTGAATTTTGTAATAGTTTTTGTAAAAGAGGCAGGGATTTGTGATATGTAAAATGAACCACGGAAAGAGAAGAAGGGAACTCATTGATATCTTAAGGACTGTAAAAATGAGTACTTTAAATTGTAAAACAGAAATATATGCCTCCAAGGAAGGAGAGTCCACGTTTGGGAAGTCAGATCGCTGTTGCTCTTTTTCTTCACGAATTGCCACAAGAAGCAGGACAAGGAAATCCTGAGCAGGCTCAACTTTGCTGCCTCCTCCTCCGTTTCTTCTTGTGGTGAAGATGTCTTTGCGCTGCAGTTGTTATGCATAAGGGAATCAGCGTGGATGCTTGTCACTGAAGAAGTAGTGAAGTACGTAACAGGCATCTCTTTGCTTTCCTGACCTGACAAAGGTCTAGAGTGGAGATAAACATCTCTTGGGAGGATTCCTGCATAATAACTTGATGGTGTGTGTAACCTGAAGCCTTTATGCATTTTTGCTGGCAGGTTCCGTTTGTGTTTCTTCAAACAAAATGAGAGAAAGAAAGAGAAAGGTAGAGGAAGGGGGTGGTAAAAAATATTTTGTTTTAAAATAAATTTCATTAGAGTTTATAAAGAGAAATACAAAACTTAATCTCAAATATCTTTTTTTGTCCAACATTAAGCTAAGTAGGATAAAAACACAATGAAAAGAAAAAGAGAGAGAGAGATGGACAGATAAGAAAGAAGAAATAGGAAAGAACTTTCAAGAGGAAATAGAAAATATAAAGTTTAGAGATTTAAGAACTTCTGATTCATCATCTGCCCACTATATATAAACAATAATCACTTCCTCCTCTCTACTATACCACCTAACAAAACCACTTTCTATAAACAAACATTATCTTCAGCCTTCAAACCCAAATGTTGTTATTTATTTTCCACGCAAAAAGTCTATGAGAGGTTTCCAATCTTTAGTAAACATGTCAGTTTTGCTATCTCAGCTAAGTCTTAATTTCAACAACCATTCATCTATTGTTGGTACTGATGAATCTTTCTGTTTTTGTGATATAATATGTGATTCTTCACATATGGCAGAGGGAAGGGCATGCCATCTTGCAGTGAATGTATGTGCAATATTGCATATTTCATAATCAGTAGAAATCCTTTCAGCATTTCAACAGTTTTGATATAACCCCTTTAGTAGTCCAGTTCCAGTGTAATCCCATGTCGGCATTATTCTCTTAGTTGTGCAAACTGTCCAATATCAGAATGTGTTTAATTCTCCCAATGAAATTTAAATGAGATATAAAAGTGCATAATTTTGAATGCATCCCACAACTGTTTTAAAGTACTAAGGGTGTTGCACTTACTTGGGAATAATCTCATTGAACTGACGGTGACAGTGGTCTCACCAGGATAGGATTTTGGAGGCAGAGATCCAGAACCTCACTCAGCAGAATGAGTGGGATGACTCTCAAATGCTGGCTTGCTTATTTATTTATTTCACTTAGAACCAGGACTCAAGGAGGCTCACAGAAAATAAAAGAAATGCAGATGAAACATAAAGGTAAAGGACCCCTGACAGTCCAGTCATGAATGACTCTGGGGTTGCGGCGCTCATCTCGCTTTACTGGCCGAGGGAGCCAACGTTTGTCCGCAGACAGTTTTTCCGGGTCATGTGACCAGCATGACTAATCCGCTTCTGGAGAAACCAGAGCAGCGCACGGAAATGCCGTTTATCTTCCCGCCGGAGTGGTACCTATTTATCTACTTGCACTGCATGCTTTTGAACTGCTAGGTTGGCAGGAGCAGGGACCGAGCAACAGGAACTCACCTTGTTGTGGGGATTCGAACCACCGACCTTCCGATCAGCAAGTCCTAGGCTCAGTGGTTTAGATCACAGCGCCACCCATGTCCCAGATAAAACATACATAGCTTAAAAATATAAGAGATTATGGTTAAAAAGTAATTATACTGTATGTGGAATTAAAGTTTGAGCAGCACTATGTAGATTCCAATAATAATAATAATAATAATAATAATAATAATAATAATTATTTCATTCTTTATATCCCGCTCATCTGGTTGGGTTTCCCCAGCCACTCTGGGCAGGTTACAGCACATAAAAAATTGTAAAATGTCAGACATTGAAAATTTGATACAGTACATGCACCTGATCGGTTTCAATTGCTCTTCCAAATAATTTTTATAAGTACTGCATTCACTTATCATTGTAAACTATAAAAGTGCAGAAGAGTTGTAAAAAGCAGTTCACAAGACACTAATGTACAAGGAAAGCTACGTTTTAAACTTTTATTCCTAGTCATCTAGGAAAGGCTGCTGTGAAATTTTGGAACTTGCCAAAAGTCAAGGGCACTTAAGTGTCATCGTAGGATGTACTTCAGAACATAGCAACTTATGACTTCTAGTTGAATTCAGTGGTGAACTGCCAACGGCTGATTCGCCTTCCGTGAACAAGAACCATAAAGCTATTTAGGAGTGGTTTATTTTCTTTTTCCATTGGGTAGCTGTGTTTTCAGTTCATCAAGCTGTGTAATTATATGGGTTATATATAGAAAAGGAGAGGTATGGGTCAAATGTGAAATGTGACCCTTAGTGCCTGGGGGGGAACCGTTTCGACATGGAAAAAGAAAATGAGCCATACAAGAAATACTGCAATGGGATTCACCATTGGGCAACATACTCCTAAGCATGTTTGCTCAGGACTAAATCCCATTGGGTTCAATGGGGCCAGCACCCTAGTAAAGTGCTCTTAGGACTAAGTGCACTAAGACTGCAATCTAGAGCACATTGACTTGGGAGCAAGCCCCATTTAACACAGTGAGTCTTACCTGGATGCAGACATGGATAGGATTATGTTGTAGAAAATTTGACCAAGGTCCTTCAGAGTCTAAGAACCAATGACTGCCTGTGAACTACTTCTTGCTTTGTTAGGACACAGGCAATAAAAAGCAACGAGTGGGCCTTATGAGTCCTTGCATCCAGTTTACCCCTCCTAAACTGTCATCCTTTTGCCTAAAGTGTGTGAATCCCTACAGAGGAAACCTTCTGGCCTTAAGATGAACGCTTCTCCTTCTCTATGTAGCCTTCAACGTGGCACACTCAACATGCTGTTGGACAGGGGGCGCAGGATGGGAGTTATGACTGTTCAGGTGAATTGTGATGGGATGGAAGGTGAGAGTTCTGTAGGTTCCTGACCAGTCCACTACTGGCCTCTGGTTCAGTATTAGGATCTTAGTCCAGTATCTCAGTTGGTGGTACCGGAATATTAGCTGACTATCTTCTTCTGAATCTGACATTGAACTAAGGCCATGACACATTCATAGCTGTGGTACAGATATTCCCCTACTGCTGCTCATTCTACAGTGTCCCCAAAATATTGTACCCTAGCCAAGACTTAAAATGTTGTATTTTGCAACATATTAAAGCCTGCATCTCCTAGTTCCTCAGAACATTTGTATTAAACCAAGGAGGGCGGGGGGGGGGGGGCGACTAAGTTACTGGACAAATACCAAGCTGGTCACTACATTTAAAGGCTGCAGTATTTGCTGGTTTTATGAATATTAACTTGATTCATATCGGTTTTATCTATTCCTCTTGTAAAATGTATTTTATTGCTTTTCTATGGTTTTTACCTTGCCCGGGGGACAGGAATTGTGAAGATTGGGATAAAGCTTTCTTAAGTAGTTAAATTCAGTGCAATCTTAATCATGTCTAGTCAGAAATAAGTCCTACTGATGTCAGTGGACCTCACTGTGAGATAAGTATGGTTAAGATTTACAGCCATTACAGTTGCTTAGGACAGGGATATTTGAAGGACCATTTCCTTCAACATTATCTTGTCCATCCACCGACTGAAGCTGGGGAGGCCCTGCTGTGTATCTGAGGATTGGTTGGTGGTGGGGATCTGGCAGAGGGTCTGCAGAACTCACTGTTGTGGAAGATCAGACTGTTCCCTTTCTTTGTGTCCTTCAGATACAGGACCATTAAAAATTTTTTTTTGACAGTCATGGTTTTGATTGGCACTTAAATTTTGCTGGTGAACATCACCCCACTGCATGGGCGTAGCAATGGGGGCAGCTGCCCCCCCATCAAGTAAAACAATAGAAATACAGTGGCACCTCAGGTTAAGTACTTAATTCGTTCCGGAGGTCTGTTCTTAACCTGAAACTGTTCTTAACCTGAGGTACCACTTTAGCTAATGGGCCCTCCTGCTGCCACTGCGCCGCTGGAGCACGATTTCTGTTCTTACCCTGGAGCAAAGTTCTTAACCCGAGGTACTATTTCTGGGTTAGCGGAGTCTGTAACCTGAAGTGTCTGTAACCTGAAGTGTATGTAACCCGAGGTACCACTGTACTTAACTAACTGACCAATCATGTTGGTTCTGCCCCTCCTAAGAAAAGTCCTGCTCCTTTCCCCAACAAAAACCCTGACTACACCCATGCCCCTCTGCATACCATGTTATCTGGATTTTCGCTCTTGGTTTATTGTATGATGCTTTCTCTCTCACCTGTATGTAGTTAGGTGCCTTCAGCATCCCTTCACTGAGGTGTAAATTTATACCAATAGATGCATAAGTAGATAATTTAAGGACAGCATGGCACTGGCTTTCATTTTGTGCACAAGTTAACCGTCTCTATCTCTCTCTCCCAACCTCCCCTCTGTGCTTTCATTCTGAAGGTTTCCACCTGTACCACAAGCTGCCCCACGTAGTGCCAGAGAGCTGCCTCCTTATTCTGGTTGGATTAATTCTAGGTGGAATTATGTTTGGAGTACAAGAAAAGTCTATAACGGTGATGAACAGTGACGCCTTTTTCTTGTACCTTCTGCCCCCAATTGTCCTCGATGCCGGCTACTTTATGCCAACACGCCTCTTCTTTGAGAACTTCGGCACCATTTTCTGGTATGCGGTTGTGGGGACTCTTTGGAACGCATTTGGCATTGGCATTTCCCTCTTTGCCATTTGCCAGATTGAAGTATTTGGCCTGAGTGATATCACTCTGCTGCAGAGCCTGCTTTTCGGCAGCTTGATTTCAGCCGTGGATCCCGTGGCAGTGCTGGCCGTTTTTGAAAACATTCATGTCAACGAGCAGCTGTACATCCTAGTTTTTGGGGAGTCGCTGTTGAATGATGCTGTAACAGTGGTAAGTCACTTTGCTTAAGTGTTTCTCATTGTTTCAAACTCTTCCCACTTCCCACATTTCTTTCAGCTGTATAACAGAGTGAAAATGAAGAAGCTGGGGCTTTATTGTGTTTTAGGAAAAAAATAATTAGAGCAGAAGAATGCCTGCGATACATGCTAATGGATTTAGTATTGGATCTTTTAAGTGATTTGTGCACTTTATAACATTTTGGGTCATTTTAATCAGGAAGCAGAAGTGTCTTCGTGAAAGGGGCCAGAAGAGGTCTTTAGCACTGAATGAGTAATAGGACAAGTAGGTCTGCTGATCGAATGGCTTCAAACAGATGTTTCGGTTATCACTACCTCGTTGTGGATATACTGTACCTACCTGCTTGTAGGTGGACTGAGATTGCCAGTTTATTTTATGCAGCACACTTTGCAGCCGTTACACGGGAGCAATGTTTAATCATTAACTGGATTGGTTTTTAAAAGATCATAGACTTCATCCATCTACCAATTCCCCAAGCTATCCATTTCCATATGAATGAATAATCACACCAGGAACATTGCTAGACTTTGTACTTACCTCAGGTTCCTTTTGGAAAAGTATTGCTGCACTGATCGCTTCCTGCTATAATTGTTTTAATTGCCACTTTATGGGTGGTGTAATGACTCGCACTTATATAAGCACATACACACCACACAATGCATGGATTCACACACCTGAACAAGCACACATAAGAAGGGGAAGTGTGTGAATAGGTGGTAGTTGTCATATACCTCAGGGTGCTAGGATATCTGAACCTAAGGGGTCCGGATCCAGTCACCTCGTGCCCTTGCCGTTAGCATGAAGGAGTCAAGCAAACACCAGGGTGGGTTTCACAGAGAAAAAGGTTTATTGCAGAATCTGCGCAGAGACAGCCAGTGGAATAGCTTCCAAAGACTGGCCGCCGCCCTATTGTCTTCCGAGCATTCTTATACTGAAGCTGCAAGCTTGGCTCCCCAGTTGCTCCCCAATCAACAGGCAGAGATACACTTTATTACCTTATTAGGCTAGCTAAGCCCCCCCTCCCTTTTGCAGATCTTTGCAAATATTATTTGCTTCGCATAAATGTTTGCATCTTTGCACAGCTGAGGTGGGAAGTCAGACAGGAAAACCACTACTGGCCTGCAGAGCTGAGCCTCTTCAGCTTCAGCTATGTAGGAGGCCAGACAGGAAACCCACTGCCGGCCTGCAGAGCTATCTTGCATAGCTAGAAACAATTGTTAGCTGGAGCTAGCTAAAACACGATGGAGTTTTACCTCCCCCCTCTCTTCCCTCTCCCTTCAAGGGCAGGCTCATGCAGAGCTTGTCTGAGGCCTGGGGTGGAAGTCTTGTTATAAACTAAACTAAACAAAAAAAAGCAAGCCAGTCCCTAGCAAGTCCCCTCACTGGCCACCTTAGCCCTCCGAGGCGCGGTTTAGTCAACCTCTTCTAGCCAGCTCTTACAACCCAAGATACACAACTACGGAGAGCACATGTGGCAGACTGAATGTTGTGAAGCATCTTGTCCACATCCTGACACCATAGTAATGGAAACTGCTCCTAAATAAATTTAACTAGACGGTGCACTGGACGCTCCCCTAGTACTGCCCCGATAGTGAAGTCTACTTCAGAGTGAATCTGAGTAACTTTGCCCTTAAAGTGTTTACCGCTGGTCTCCCAAGATTTTGAAGGCCCCAGAAGTCAGCTGGATTCAACAGTCTGAAGCGGTGCTGTGCTGGAAATTTCTCATACATTTTCCAGACCGTTCTCTACCAATAAGTGAGATAAGAAATTGCATCTGAGAATAATCAAAGGGAAGAGAAAACTTTGGCAAAGTTCTCAGTGGTAAAGTACAGTTTTTTGTTTGATGCAATTGTCTTAAATTTGAGATGGTCGAGGGGTGTCTTTCATTCTACAAATTATCTAACCTGCATTGCAGGGGGTTGGACTAGATGACCCTCGTGGTCCCTTACAATTCTGTGATTCTAACCAGTGGTCTGCGCTCTGAGGCCTTCCTGGGTGCCCAGGCTTCAGTCAAGGCCCAGGGGAAGACATCATGAGGTAATTCCACCTATTTACCCACTCCAGCAACAAAATCCTTCCAAGCCGATTCTTTTTTCTATGTTTAACACGAAATTACCTGACCTTCTTCATGTTGCTGAGCGAAATTGCTATGGCCATGGCAATGTTCTGTATTGGAGATGATCAATTAAACTTGTTCAGTCCAGGCATCCCGTAAAAACAACACCCTGTGATGCCTTACTATGTTTCAAACCAATGTAGCATAATTCACAACATGCTAATGTAAGTCCTTCTTGACTGTACTTTCTTCAAAGTAAAAAATTAAAATAAATGAAAAGGACTAAAAAAACTTGATTCCCTTCTCGCCCATATAATGTATCTGATCTAATAATATGAAAAGCGTATTTCACCAGCCAAGCTCTGGAGATTTATGGAATATTTATAAAATGTGCTAGTATTATTCTAGGGACATAAGAGCATAAAACGAGCTGTGCAAGATAAGACCATAAATTCATCTAATCCAGCCTTCTGTTTCCTACAGTAACCAGGCAGTTGCCCTTCCCTAATGTTTGCCTGTCAGCGCTTGCTTTTTGGAAACATGCTTCTTATGGATTTGGAAGATTCCATCCAAGTATCATGACCAATAGCTGCTGACAAGCCTATCAGTGATTAATTTGATCTGAACTCTTTCTGAATGCATATAAATTCATGGTTATGAATTCCATAAATTAATCAGACATAATCTTATCGGCCTGTCATCCTCCACGCTCAGTTTTCTTTCCCCCTCTTGTTTCAGGCCAGGGCCGGCTCACACATGAGACAGGGTGAGGCAGCTGCCTCAGGTAGCAGAAGGCCAAGAGGTGGCGCTTCCTTAGGCATCCCACTGCCTCTGCCAGAAGCTGCCATCATTGCCACTGCTCCACAGGTGCTACCATGCAACCCAAGCAAGGGAAGCTGTGGTGGCGGCATGGCAGCATGGGTCACAGTGGTACATTCCTGTTTCACCTCAGGCAGCACAATGCAATGTGCCACCCATGCTCTAGGCAATTCCTCCATCCCCTTGATCATTTTGGGTGCCCTTTTCTCCATGTTTTCTGTTGTATCCTTTTTGAGGTGGGATCACCTTTCTCATTATGATGCATGTTTGTGTTATTTTCACTAATATATTCATTTTTTACACATTTCACCCTAATACATGCATTTCTGTAAACACTGGATAGAGAACTACTGCTAAACTAAATTTAGATAACTGTGAATTTTGAGGATGGCTTCGTTTTGGTCCTCATATTCTTTTGGAAAGTACAAGCTTGATAAAATTGCCTTTAAAGTATGTGTATTCAAACATGCAAGGTCTACCTTCTGTGAACGAAAGTGGTATTGTCCAGGAAAAGCCTTGCTGCTTAGTTCTGCTGAGTATAAACTGGACTGATGCCTAGGTTTAATGGATATCATTTGATAGCATCAAGGAACGCCTGGGGAATTGAACAAGGAAGTGAGCTTGCTGCTTTAATGTGAGATGGGAGTTCCATTTCTATCTTCTATATTGTAGATTTACATTGCATGTTAATATATTTTAAAAGAAATGCTGTTCTGGGGCTTAAATGTGGTGGCCAGTCTTTTAATTATGCAAGCGTCTTATCAAATTAAATCTGTTCAGGTGAATGCATCCTGCTGTTGCATCCTTTCCAGACTTTATGCTTTTTCTGTGTCTCAGTTCACAGTACTGTGATTACTGCATTTTTTTAAAGCAGCAACATGGACATTGTTCCATGCAATGAGCCATAGCTTACCCTACATGTAGCATGATCCCTGGGCTCATGCGTTCCTCTATCCTCTGGTGTGGTCATGAGGAGGAGATCAGAAGTGATAGCTTCTGTTTTCAGTTGACTGCATGTGGTTCATCATGTCTGAATGAGGACAAATTGTGGGTAGTTTTAACTATGGTTTGTCTGAACAAGCCAACTTCAACCATGGCTAATTATCCTGTTGGGATAAACTACAGTTAACACTAACCACAGTTTGTCCTAGTTCAGAAACTAGGTTGGGCTGGCAATATAAAAAGATGAATGGAATAAGAGTCTGATGTATGCACATTTTTCCTATATGAAGCAGCATCAAGTCAGCCATATTTTAAAGCAGCTACTGTGCTGCACTGTGCTGACCAGACGAAGATAATCTAGATCTATTATATCTACCTCTGATATGGTAGAATGCAAACATACTTTGCATTATTTCAGGGCAATTGCTTGTCTAACTAATGGGATGAGTGACAGATCATTTTCACTGGGATAGTATCATGGTCTTCAGTTACATCAAACTGTACTATTGTCTAAAATTACATAGTAGCAATATTACATAATTTAATTTTTCCAATTAAAGCTACAGCGAGGATTCTAAAAGAAGTTAACTTTTTCTCTCCCTTTCATAGGTCCTGTACAACCTCTTCAAGTCTTTCTGCAAGATGCGTACAATTGCAGCTGTTAGCATATTTGCTGGAATTGCTAATTTCTTTGTAGTTGGAATCGGCGGAGTTTTGATTGGAATTGTTATGGGCTTTGTAGCAGCTTTTACGACACGTTACACCCATAAAATCCGAGTGATTGAACCACTGTTTGTCTTCTTGTACAGTTACCTGGCATACATAACAGCTGAAATGTTTCATCTCTCAAGCATTATGGCGTAAGTATCTATGAAAATATACTGCGCTAAGAATACCGTGGATATATTAGAAACATTAACCTCTGCTCTTATAAGACCACAGCCCAATGCTGACTCAATGGGAGCAAGACAATGATAGAGTTTTATTCTGCGTAGACATGCATAGAATTTCACTGTCAGTTGACTAACATCTTGTCATCAGTCAAGATGGCAACTGCAGAGGTAGGTGCATGCCAGAGTTCAAATTCAAAGCTGGGTTTTGAGCAGCTTTTTATCCAGATCAGTATCTGAACCTCTAGTGCCTTACTTTTACTGATAAAGCAATGCGAATTGGTCAGCTCAGGAACCTTTTTTGCTTTTGAAAACAACATTGTGTATGTACTCACTTTTTAAATTCTTGCATGGAACAAGCAGAACATCCCCCCCCCCCATTTACTCATGTTAAAATTTCCCATTTAATTTATTTTTCATTTGGATCCCTAGTAAAGTGACCCTAGTGAAGTGAAATTTAGAAGCACATTGAAACTTTTGCAAAGTTTAGTAGCAGGTCAACGAAACTTGATGACTGCATCCAGTGATCTAGATTTTTCCAGTCACCAGACAGAAACTGCCTTGTTTGTGCAAGGTGACTTGCATTACTGGTATAACCATGATGAAATGCAGTTTGTATTATCATCAAACTTTTTTCTTTCCCTTTCCTGCTGTAAAGATGGTTTTAGATAAGTGAATATGATTGCTTTAAGTGTGTTTAACCCAACTGAAATCAATAGAATAAAGTATTCTCGACTCTTTGTTTGATAACTGGGCACAGAAATAAAATAAAAATTAAGAGAAAATTGGCATCTTCTTAGACATATGATATTATTAAATGCTCTGAGTCTGGTGCAAATCTTGAGTAATAATGATATATTCTAGCCGTTATAGCTGCAGTTCATAGTTATACTATGACGGTCAGATACCATACATTGGCTATGTGGCTGATTTTCAACATTCCATTGCAAACTGCAAACACACAATCAAGCAGAGGTTGTGTGAATGGGTGATGATGTGATGAATTCTCCAAGAATTGCTTGGTGAATTGCTTCACATCACTGTCTTCCCCCAGTGGAGCAACCTCCATGCAGTTTACTTGACTTGCAGTCACAGTGATGTTTGTTGAGCTCTTCACACTTTAGTTGGGAACCAGAGTGTGTGGACCATAGGTCCACGGCCAGGCCACACAATCGAGCTTGCACACTTGTGTGTCCTCTGCAGGTTTATGGTGCGTGCAACTGTAGCTGAAACAGAAATAATTGAAAACCATATAAACTTCCTGTTCACCGCCTGTCCCCAGCAGATGTGCCTTCCGCTCACTCAAAGCATTCTTTGTATCTCACCCTTTATGTTTTTTAAGATACCTGGATGATTTAAGTATACACCCCAAAAATGTGACATATAAAACCATATAGGTTTGCTTCTACATGATATTTTAAATGGCTAATTCGTGTGTGAATCTGGCCTTGGTTGGCAATGGAAGACATTTGATAGGTGCAGCCGTTCAACATCATGGAAAATACCTTAGAGTTCAAAATTAAAACAGGAAGCATGGTCCTAGGTCCACCCACATAAGATATCTGTTTGAAGTTCATCCTCTGTCATGAAATGGCATCTTGTGAAAAGTGAAATCATGACACGCTGAATCCCACAACGCTGAGTAACTAAAAAGGAGACACTTAATTATAGCAGTCAGCTGGTGCCCATGGTGCACTGTGGCAGCATGTAACGTCCTTACAGAACAGCAAAGGAAACAAGCGTTTCCTCAAAGAATGATCACTTCGTTTTCTGCAAGTAAATTGACACGGAGCCTTCCCTTTAAAAAAAAGGTTAGGAATGAAGCACTGTGTGCATGTTAATTTACCATGACTTTGCAAATGGGTTTTTAAACTTCCTTGCATTTAAACATCAGTTTGTAATATGAAGTTATGCAAGAGACTTGCTGTTCAGGAACAGTGAAACAATGTCCCATGACGCACACAGTCCCATTGAAGTCCACGCAGTTCCCTTATATTTACTAACGCTGACCCACACAATCAACCGACAGCATGATCCTATCAGATGTCTGGTTGGAAGGAAGCCCCAATGAGTTCAATTGGATGTACTCCAGCATGTGTATAGGCTTACAGCCTAAATTCTCAGAGCTCTTCCTTCCTGTTCTAGCTAAAGTTGGTTCCACCTTTCAGTCAATCACTTTTTGAACCTCTCCATGTATTTAATGCTGCAACAGCAGCCGGATTGCTGAAATGGAAACTTAAGCAGAATTTTGCTAATCTGAGGAACTGCCTTAAAACCTTCCTGGGATAACAGGCTATGCTTTTCGCGTTGGGCTGTGTAAACTTTAATGTAAGTATTTTGGAAGCTGAATTAAAAGTTGTTTTCTTCTGCAGGATTACAGCTTGTGCTATGACCATGAGTAAATACGTGGAGGCGAATGTTTCTCAAAAGTCCTACACCACAATAAAGTACTTCATGAAGATGCTGAGCAGTGTCAGCGAGACCCTGATCTTTATTTTCATGGGCGTGTCCACAGTTGGAAAAAACCATGAGTGGAACTGGGCCTTTGTTTGCTTTACCCTCCTGTTTTGTTTGATTTGGCGTGCGCTAGGTAAGAGACAATTAAAACGGTATAGATTGCACTTCAACATACTTTACACCTGAAACATGCTTATCTTTTATGGAACAGTGTGCTTGACCAAAAAAAGAAAGAAAAGAAAGCTGCCATCAAGAGAAAAAGCAAAAACTGCTTGAGAGAAAGACATGTTCTGGACATGGAAGACTGTGGGTCTCTCCAGATGATCCTTCAATGTTATTTCAAGTGCTAAAGTAAATCAGTCCGCCAGTCTATAAGCTATGTTTAGGGAAGCTTTTAATGTTTAGTAGATTATTGTATTTTAATATTCTGTTGGAAGCTGCCCAGAGTGGCTGGGGAAATCCAGCCAGATGGGTGGGGTATTAATAATAATAATAATAATTATAATGTCAATTTGGTTGGCTTCTGTGCTTGGGAGTGGTGTGGTGTCTCACATTTCAATGGCAGTTTGTCCGCAACACCAAAATTCAGGGCCTCCTTCCACTTCTCCACTTCCATTCTACATTACAGTTGCAGCGCCCCTGTAGCTTTGGTTCCAGTGTGACCAAATCAGTTGGACTCCCGTAAATCCACCTCCGTTGGTGGGAATGTTGCTGTTCATTTCAGGCAGTGAAATGTTTTGGACTGTCCCTGGTAGGGGAGCTTTTTAAAATTCTTCCTCTTGATTTAGGTTATCATGATACTTCCATTAAGAAAGTGTCCTTGGTTCAACCCCCACCAACTACAGTGAGAAAAGTCTCTCTCCCTCCCTCTCTCTCTCTCTCTGTGTGTGTGTGTGTGTGTGTGAGAGAGAGAGAGAGAGAGAGAGAGAGAGAGAGGGAGAGAGAGAGCTGTGCAGGAAGTGTGGAGAGAAGTGCAGGGACACTCAGGTTGCTTGTGCAACAGAAGCCCTTGGGAAAGTGTCACATGTAAATAAAACTTCTGCACCTCTTTTTCATATGACATAAAATGGAAGATAACATTCTTACATTTATTTTGGAAACATTATTATATTTGTCTTAAATTTTAGGTTCTGAACCATGCTTGTCTTTCTATGTTTTCCTTAGGAGTTTTTGCATTGACTCAAATTATTAATGTATTCCGGACAATTCCTATAACATTTAAGGACCAGTTTATTATTGCCTATGGAGGCCTCCGAGGAGCCATATGTTTCTCTCTTGTTTTCTTGCTTCCTTCTGCCGACTTCCCTAGAAAGAAGCTTTTCATTACTGCTGTTATTGTGGTGATATTCTTCACAGTCTTCATTCAGGTAAGAATATCCCTCTTTTGGGATGGGATTAAATAGTTATCTGTACTAAAACCTGCAAAGAGCCCAGTCAATGTTCCTACTACTTATTTTGGCCATGGGACTAATATAGTATTGGCACTGACAGCCTGTAAGTAGCCCAGTACCAATGTAATCTGAAACTTCTACTGGAATAAGTGAATTCACTCCCAAGAGTAATTTCTTCCTCTTGTCCTCCTAATGTCTTGCATGATCATATTTTACTTGTGTAATGAATATTCTGTAATTTGGAAGAGATATCTCCATAGCTGTCAACTTTCCCCCCTTTTTAAGGGAAATTCCCTTATTCCGAATAGGATTCCTTGCAAGAAAAGGGAAAAGTTGACAGCTGTGGATATCTCACAGAAGGACTTATACACAACTTAGTAAATCATATTCTGAACTAGTTAACACATCTTGTCTTGTTTACAGGCAAATTGCGAAATCAGTTTTAAAAACAAAGATCACAATTTGTGACTTGCCAGTAATATACATAAAAATGCAAGGCTGTCGTTATGCTGCCGTCCATGTGGCCAGTAGGAGGCCACACCAGCTCCAGTGTGTTGGCAGTCTGTCAGGTGAAGCCGCAGTCTGGTTGGCAGGTGACTCAGGTGAACTGTTTCATGGAGGGGAGAGCTTCACAGAGCTTTTTGACAAACCGCTTTGTAAATTGGTTGTCTCCCTCTGTTAAACATGGCTGCAGCCACATGTAATGGAGAAGGGAGGTGCTTCATTCACAAAAGGTGGGGCAAACTGAGAGAGGAGGGGGAGGTGAGGTTTGGCTGAGCTGCGAGAAGGTGGGTGAGGTGTAAAGGGAGAAGGGGTTGGCCAGGTGTGGAGGAATCAGAACAAGCCGGGGTGGCAGCCCCTAGTCATTTATAAATTTGACCCAATGCATTTTACAGCTTGTTGACTTCCAGCCTCCTTTTATCTGGAAATGTAGTGGCTCACAGAGAACATACTTTGCTTTTTGCCCTGTTAATACCACAGATAGAAATCTAGGAAGCTAGCTTATTCCAGAGCTGTGTATACACCACACATTTCAAGTACCTCCCATCAGAATCCTGGCCACTGTTGTTTACTCCTCATAGAGCTATAATTCTCTGCACCCTTAACAAAATACAGTTCCCAGGATTCTTGGGGATGTGTGTGTTTACATATAAGCAGCCCCAGGTCAGACTGGTTCTCCACCTAGTCCAGCATGGTTTTCTGTGAAAGACAACAGATTTCTAGGGCCAAGGCCAGTTTTTCACAATCACCTACCACCTATATTTCTTGGGTAACTGGATTCAGACATCAGCAGTAGATCTTTAAAGTCTGTGCTGTCTGGTTTCAAAAATAAGAAAAAGAAAGAAAGCCAGGTACATTTTGGGGGATTTTATTGTGCTGTTATTTGAGGCAACATGCAACTGTTCTACTGCTTCTGAACATTCATTTACCAAGCTGCACACTGAACAGAATATAAGAGTGACACAGTGGAAAGGAAATTTTAGGGCTGATGTGATTTTCATGCTTGTTTTTGTGTTTCCTGAAAACAGGGAATAACAATTCGCCCACTGGTGGAATTTCTGGATGTTAAAAGAGCAAATAAGAAACAACCAGCTGTTAGCGAGGAAATTTATTGTCGGGTATGTTGGAGTTTTGGGTGAACAGCATTTACTGAAATGTGCTTTTAATAGCTGAATGTTTCTTCTTTGGTGGGAAATAATGTGCCATTTATAACATGTGCTTGTTACATGAATGAATTCATTTTGGTACTACATGTGTCACATAACTGTGTGTCTTTGAGTTCGTGAACATCTTTTCAGCCTGCAGCCTGCAGTTCTGGCCAGGTGTGTCATATCACATTCCCGCCCCCCCCCCCGGCAATCTTAAGATAGTTACTTTAAAACACACTAGTTAGGCACAACAATTTAATTCAGTTTAACCTTTATAGCTCAGTCCTTCATGTTTGCTTGGAAGTAAGTTTCAACTGAGCTCACTGGTTGTTAACTCCCAAGTAAGTATTGAAGCTCAGTTAAATTATACACATAATGAAAGCAGGGGTGTGATCTACTCTCTATAGACACAGCTGTGCACATGTGGCTCAGGGCAAGCTGCTTAATTCGCTTCCCTCTTTTCCCTGGAGCCTGAGCTACTGGTATACCAGGATGCTGGAGAAGAGACGTATGGCTTCTGATACATAGACGAGACACGCACATGCCACCCTTTGAAACTAACAGCTGGTTAGGTGCAGTGTGCGATAGTAAAGTTAAAAGGTAAAGGACCACTGGATGGTTAAGTCCAGTCAAAGGCGACTATGGGGTTGTGGTGCTTATCTCGCTTTCAGGCCGAGGGAGCCGGCGTTTGTCCACAGACAGCTTTCTGGGTCATGTGGCCAGCATGACTAAACTGCAACAGATGATGGAAACCAGAGCACACAGAAATACCATTTACCTTCCTGCTGCAGCGATGCCTATTTATCTACTAGCATTGGTGTGCTTTCGAACTGCTAGGTTGGCAGGAGCTGGGACAGAACAATGGGAGCTCACCCTGTTGTGTGGATTCGAACTGCTGACCTTTCGATCAGCAAGCCCAAGTGGCTCAGTGGTTTAGACCACAGTGCCACCACTCCCCTGTGCGATAGTGGCCAAGGGTTAACTAGAGTGATATGGTTGCATGCACACCATACATTTAAAGTACATGGCTTCCCCAAAAGACTCCTGGGAACTGTAGCTTATATGTCTCAGCACTCTTAACATACTATAGTTCCCAGAATTTTTTGGGTAAGCCATATGCTTTTAATGTATGGTGTGAATATAGATTTAGAGAGAAGAAAGAAATGCCATTTTCTCTCAGCCATTGTGTTCTTAGAACTGGGTCATTAGGTTACAAACATTGAGTGACTTTAAGAGAAGCTTAGATAAACAATATTTATATTTTCCTCAGTGATTGCATGTGGCTTAAGTCTGTGGCACATATGAAAGCAAGTAATGAGTCTGTTTCCACATTTTAGTTCTTTGATCACGTGAAAGCTGGAATTGAAGATGTGTGTGGACACTGGAGTCACAACTTTTGGAGAGATAAGTAAGTAGTGTACTGAAACGTTAGTGGAGTGTGGGAAAAGTGAGAAGCCCAGCTTGTTTCCTCAGTTCAACAATTACATTCTGAAATCTGCAAATGATTTCTGTAAAGCATTATTTTGTGTGGCTTTGTGGTTGAGATAATTTTAGCAAACCTGAATACTGATATATAATTAGTTTAAGCATTTGTATTCATCAAACTACATGGATTAAAAACCTGACTTTATTTCAATAATCCTACATTCAAAATACAAGTGTTTGTTAATATTCATGAAGTAAGCTTCTGGGACTTCGGTTTAGCTATTGGACCATTCTAGTTCAAATGTGTTGTTATGAAGTGCATAGCTTGTGTCCAAACCTGCAGTTCTTCCATGCAAACCTGACACTCCTTTTTTGGATCTTTTGACTTTGTGGCCCAAGTATGTCCTGAAAGTGGTACTTCATGGAGTCAAAGAATACCACTGAGTATCATTCAAGCATCTTATTGGAATAACATGGAATTAGCACATTTCTTTAAAAGGTGTTAAGCAGGACTCAAACTTTCATAAACAGCACGGTATCAGTAGCCTTAACCCCTAATGAGTCAACCTGCTCATTCAATCAGCATCCATACAGGTACATCGGAAAGTTAAGATGTGGGGAAATTGGTCAGAGAATGTCTCTCTGTGTGTAGGGTAGCTGAGGCTAGAAGAAGCTTGTGGGCTGGATGATAAAGGCAGGGGGAAGAGAGAGCATGAGACCAAGCAGTTAGCTGCCTGGGAATGTGAAAGGGCGAGGGGTTGGCTTAATACCTGAGAAAAGGTGGCTTATAAAGGAGACATGGAAGGGAATGAAAAGTCTGACAGCTGAGGGACTTGCAAGGAAAGAGAGTATGTGATACCCATCCTTTACTTCTGTGAAGCTGGAGTTTGATGGAAGAGAAATGGCATGGAGGCCCTTCTTACACCAGGAAAAATATCTAGAGGAATAAGAAAGAGAGAGACTAACAAAGGCTAACAACCCTCCTTCCCTTTCTCATTGAAGTCAGGATGGGTACTACACCTGGATTAAGAGGTTACAGTATTGGTTAAAGGTCTTGTCCAGGCTTCCTCAACTTCAGCCCTCCAGATGTTTTTGGCCTACAACTCCCATGATCCCTAGCTAGCAGGACCTGTGGGATGCTGGGAATTGTAGTCTCAAAAACATCTGGAGGGCTGAGGTTGAGGAAGCCTGGTCTTGTGCCTTCCTGGGCTAAAAACGGAAGGTGAAAATTAACAGTAACTGGGACCATCCCCTTCGGTTACTTCTAAGCTGGGAATTTTCCAATTTGCCAGGCGGTTCCAAAAAGGAGCAGAGGAAGCAAAAGGATTAAGCTGGAAACTATAACAGTGGGCATAACTCAAGGGTGCTGACTGTATGTGTCACATAGGAAGCATTTCAGAGTATGTCTTCCACCTGTCTTTTGGTTATAGCTCAGGCTGCTCCTAGTCCTGCCTGTGAGCAGAATTTTAGCTGCCATTCCCTGTGCAGGCTATCCATGTCAAAAACTTGATCTCGTAACAGTGTTTAGACTGCAGCATTTTAGAATTTAATCTGCAGCATTGCTTCTACTCCTCACAGGTTTATAAAGTTTGACAAGAAATACTTGCGAAGGCTTCTGATTAGGGAAAGTGAGCCTAAATCAAGTATAGTTTCCCTGTACAAGAAACTTGAAATAAAGCATGCGATAGAGATGGCAGAATGTGGAATGATAAGTACAGTACCATCGCTGGCTTCTATAAGGTAAGTTGAGGGCAGTAGGGTGCAATATCATTGCTAGTTTGAATCTTGACTATGTTGCATTTTGAAGTGTGCATTCTACAGTTGCCAAATCATAGCCAAAAGTGAATTAAACAGTATTTTCTACATCTAGGATTAACTAGTCTGTATATTTATTTCAAAGAATTATGTTGTGTCCAAAACATTAAAAACATCCTGATGGCTTGCAATAGAAGAAAAAACAGCTTACAAAAACAAACAAACAACTTATTATTAAATAAAATAAATAAATAAATAAATAAATAAAATTAAATAAAATATTATGTTGTAAAGCTAAATACATCAATGGCAGTACAATATATGGATCCAACACCAACAATAAAACATTTAAAATGCCTGGGATTTTTTATTATTATTATTATTATTATTATTATTATTGACAATAAAGAAAGTGGCATGTGAACTTCTCCCAGCAGAACATTCCATGACCAGGGTGCCACCACTGAAAAGGCCCCAAAACCTGTTGTATCTATCCATTGTATCCACAAAAGTGGAGGCACTGCAAGAAAGGCTTTTAATAATGTTCTTAGTGAATGGGCAAACTCAGTGAGACTTCAATTGGTAAATTAATCAACCAGAGCTGCAACCCCTATACCCGCTTACCTGGAATAAGCCCCATTGAACTTACTTGAACTTTCTTCTGTGTTGAAATACACAGAATTTTGATATCAGACATCTAAGCTGTAATCCTACATGCACTTAGCTGGGAGTAAAGTCCATTCAACTCAATGGATCTTGGTTCTGAGGCCCATGTTTGTGCCATCTTGCTCAATACTGTCTAGACTGACTAGCAGTAGCTTTCCTGGTTTTCAGACTGGCGTGTCACCCAGCCCTAACTGGAGATTTCAGGACTTGAATCTCAGACCTACTGCAGATACTTAACGAGTAAACTACAGCCCTTCCACAAACAACCTGTGCTACTGTAATATGGAATGGCAACTGACATATTGAAGATAGTTTTTCCTTCTAACAATTAATGCATGCTTTTTACTGTGAGGTGCCATGAGCTTTTCTTACACTGAAATTCCTTGCTGTCTGATGTTTTCAACTTTTCAAAGCAATCTACAGTCGGTTGACATACCCACCAGTAACAAATGTGAACAAAATTCTATCTTGGTTACATTTAAAAGAACCCGTGGCTCAGTCCTATTCAGGATTTTCCTAGAATTCTATTTGTGTACTTGCATATATCTTGAAATTGTTTGAAATGTAATAGCTGTAGTTAGACCAGCCGGGACTTTTGTTATAGAAATTGTAAGGATAGGCATTCCCTGCCCTCCCAGCACCCCATTTATGGAGAAATGTGAGTAGCAGTGAAATTCTGTATACTCAGAAGTAGGCCCTGCTGAGTTCAGTGGCAATTACTTCCAGGTAGCTGTGGCCTTGGGACGCGGGTGGCGCTGTGGGTTAAACCACAGAGCCTAGGACTTGCTGATCAGAAGGTTGGTGGTTCGAATCCCCGCGATGGGGTGAGCTACCGTTGCTCGGTCCCTGCTCCTGCCAACCTAGCAGTTCGAAAGCACGTCAAAGTGCAAGTAGATAAATAGGTACCGCTCCGGCGGGAAGGTAAACGGCGTTTCCGTGCTCTGCTCTAGTTCACCAGAAGTGGCTTAGTCATGCTGGCCACATGATATGGAAGCTGTCTGCGGACAAACGCTGGCTCCCTCGGCTTATAGAGCGAGATGAGCGCCGCAACCCCAGAGTTGGTCACGACTGGACCTAATGGTCAGGGTTCCCTTTACCTTCACCTAGCTGTGGCCTTATTTATAGTATTGCAAGTTATTATGTATTTTCCTTTATATTTTGTTTCACCTTCTTACAGTGAACTTAAAGAAGAAGAAGAAGAAGAAATAAGACCTTCCTATCCTGCCAAGATGGATGACATAAGATACATTTTAACAAAAAATCTCTATCAGATACGGCAAAGAGTAAGTAGAATACAGCATTAATGGAACACCCCCGTGGTGAATGTATCTAGTTTCTCAGCTGGCAATGTTTTTTCCTCCCTTAATAAAATCACCAGGATGCCATCCTAAGCAAACTTACTTGGAAGCCATTTCCATTAAAATCAGTGGGACTCGCCTCTGGGAAAATGTATTTAGGATTAGTGTATGGGAAAGCTGATAAATAAACATGGTAAAGACAAAGAAGTATGAGAAGTTGTACTCCAGGCTTTATAAATTGTCTTAAGAAGAGGAGTTTGTGACGGTTTTCTAGAACACAAAGATGTGCCACTCAACACTAGGCACGAGCATAAATTCTGAATATTCTGAGCTATACACGCACACAAACACACACTTAATACATACACAGATTTAAGGTGCTGTGCATAGGTGAGTTTCACAGTAGCTTAAAATAGTTCCTTATTCGCTGGTCATTAAGAGAACCCTGTGCGGCCAACCTCTATGTAAATAGGATGTTGAAGCTTATTGTAGCTGTTAATGTTCACGATCCTATTAAGCTGGAATTTGATCGCCCAGGGTTTCTGATTATTAAATACAACTCCACATAATGGATTCCACTGCATTTTACAGTGGACCCTCCAGATACGAATTAAATTTGTTCTGGGGGTCCATCCGCAATCCGCAAAGTCTGTAGGCAGAGGCGCTGCTTCTGCATGCGCGCGGCACGATTCAGCGCTTCCATGCATGTGTGCAGCACACAGAGTGCTTTTGCACATGTGCACACAGCGAAACGCAGAAGTATACACTTCCTTCCAGCTTTGCCACGTTCATAACCCGAAAGTTACGTATCCAGAGCAGTACGTAACTGGAGGGTCCACTGTACTGTGTGATAATATCGAAATGTCTAAATGGACCATCTCTTTCACATTCCTGTTTGTACGATGCCCGTAATGGCGTCTGTCCTTAAAATCTTTATATACATAGATCCCATCAAAGCAGGGAATTTATATTTTTGAAGGACAGCGAACATTTAAAAAATGAAGAATTATGTCCAATGGTTTAGTGCATGGGTAGGCAAACTAAGGTCTGGGAGCTGGATCTGGCCCAGTTGCCTTCTAAATCTGGCCTGCGGACGGTCCGGGAATCAGCATGTTTTTACCTGAGTACCTTTTATTTAAAATGCATCTCTGGGTTATTTGTGGGACATAGGAATTCGTTCCTTTCCCCTCCGCCCCCAAAAAATATAGTCCGGCCCCCCACAAGGTCTGAGGGACAGTGGACTGGCCCTCTGCTGAAAAAGTTTGCTGACCCCTGGTTGAGTGCAAGTGAAAAGTAGCCTGTTAAGCTGATCTTTCTATCCTTCTCTTCCTCTTCTTTCTTGCCATCCTTGCAACCTATGAAAGCCTTCTCCAGAGGATTGGGGATCCTCCTGAAGAGGAGGGGGAGTCCTATGGAACTCCAGGGCAAGAGGGAAATCACCCAGCATGGGGTAGAGGAATATTGCAGTTGCATAAATGTTATGAACACGACTTGCAATGCTTAAAATTCTTAATTTTTGTATGCCAAATAACCAAACAACAACCAAAGGTCCAAAGGCTGTACAAGCATTAAATTACACATCTTGATTGCATATAATTCATTGTAAACATTATGCTAGTTTGAGTGTTGTTTGTGAGATTTCTTAAAGCACTGAATTATAGCTAGTTTGCAGCCCTGTACCACTCATGGCAGGGATGCAGGTGGTGCAGAGCCTAGGACTTGCCGATCAGAAGGTCGGCAGTTCGAATCCCCGCAACGGGGTGAGCTCCCGTTGCTCGGTTCCTGCTCCTGCCAACCTAGACGTTCGAAAGCATGTCAAAGTGCAAGTAGATAAATAGGTACCACTCCGGCGGGAAGGTAAATGCCGTTTCCTTGCGCTGCTCTGGTTTGCCAGAAGCGGCTTAGTCATGCTGGCCACATGACCCGGAAGCTGTACGTCGGCTCCCTCGGCCAATAAAGCGAGATGAGTGCTGCAACCCCAGAGTCGGCCACGACTGGACCTAATGGCATTAATATGGCCGTTGCTTTTATTCTCGTTTCAGACACCATCATACAACAGGTACAGTCTTGCTGAAGATGCAAGCGAAAAGCAGGCAAAAGAAATTTTGATTCGTCGCCGACACAGCCTGAGGGAGACCGTGAAGAGGGGCAGCAGCTTGTCAAGACAGGTACTTGTATGACACCAGTGGCATAGCGTGGGGGGTGCAGGGGGGGCCTGCCGCACCGGGCGCAACATCTGGGTTAGGGGGCTCAAATCCACGGGTTAGGGGGCGCAAATTACTTGCCTTGCCCCGGGTGCTGACAACCCACGCTACGCCACTGTATGACACAGAACCGTAGAACTGTAGAGTTGGAAGGGACCACGGGGGTCATCTAGTCTAGCCCCCTGCAATGCAGGACTCTTTTGGCCAACGTGGAGCTCAAAGAGTCTCATGCTCTACCAACTGATCCATCAGAGTTTGCACAAGGGAGTTGAAAAAATAACGGCCCCATCACAACTCACAGTGTAATATGTATTTTATACTCTTGCATTTGTCCCCAGGTACAAATTGTATCAGAAGTTGCCGTAATCATGCATATATTTCACTTTGCTTGTACAGAACACATTTCATGTTTCTTTCTGCAGGTGGCAGCCAAACCACCCCGTTATCTGTCACTGCCTAAAAACACTAAACTCCCCGAGAGAGTACGGAAAAGAAATCAATCTTCTTATAAAGGTAATACAGTTTCTGAGTAAAAGGAAGAGTGAATTTGGCTTTTGTTTTGTTTCGTTAATGAAGTGGTTACCTGGAAAACAAGCAAATGTGCCAGAGAGGATCATGGGTTATTTCCATACTTTCCAAGAGAACTGCTACTCCCTATGCAAATAGGTCCATTTCTTTCACTTGCCAAGAAGGTGCTCTTGGTGATTTTTTGTGAATTGGTGCATGCGATTGCATGTATGCTTTGTATACAGTGGTACCTCAGGTTACGTCTCAAAAGAATTACAGTGGTACTTCGGGTTACATACGCTTCAGGTTACAGACTCTGCTAACCCAGAAATACTGCTTCTGGTTGAGAACTTTGCTTCAGGATGAGAACAGAAATCGTGCTCCAGCATCGCGGCAGCAGCAGGAGGCCCCATTAGCTAAAGTGGTGTTTCAGGTTAAGAACAGTTTCAGCTTAAGAACGGACCTCCGGAATGAATTAAGTACTTAACCTGAGGTACCACTGTAGTATGTTTGTACAGTGGTACCTTGAGTTACATACGCTTCAGGTTACAGACTCCGCTAACCCAGAAATAGTACCTCGGGTTAAGAACTTTGCTTCAGGATGAGAACAGAAATCGTGCTACGGCGGCGCAGCGGCAGCGAGAGGCCCCATTAGCTAAAGTGGTTCTTCAGGTTAAGAACAGTTTCAGGTTAAGAACGGACCTCCGGAACGAATTAAGTACTTAACCTGAGGTACCACTGTATATACTCAAGGGATAGCATGGTAGCCATTGGGATGGCAGCTGCTTACCTGCTCAGATGAGTGACCAACAGTGGCAAGGAGCAGCAGCTGCTGCTGCCTGCATTCTATCTAGAGAAAAGGGGAGAGGAAGGAAGGAGTCTCTAGCAGGGCAGTACACCTACCAGGAAGGGGCGTTATCTGGCTGAAGCCCCAGCCCTGGAAAGGGGTATGATGGAGCCATATTTGCCTCTGCAGCACACCCCAATCCTTTAGGCCTTATATTGTAGATCTTATCTCCACAAAAACCTACCAAACTTGTTTGGCCAGGGACAAAAGTGGAACATGGGATGAAGTGCACCTTTAATTTTCAGGGAGGGAGAAAGAAAACTTACTGTCCTCCTCTGACTTTATAGCCCTAGGCCCGGATCCAAAGCTACTTTAGACACACCCAAAAGCTTGAACGTACTGTACCATTCTTGGCTTTCCTTCTTTGCATTGCAGATTCCCAGCCATGAATTGCTTTGGAATGGCTCCATTGTTGCCAAAGCAGTCAGGGAGGTGTCTGCTTGTAGAACCACAAGCCCAAAGGCCTGGGGTGTGAGGAGCTAGTTGTGTGATTCTTTGGATCTCAGCCATCGATTCACCACAATGTTGAGTTCCCAATAGCACTGCATTGTGTGTTCACCTGTTCCTTTCATACCCTCTGCTTTAAACGGAACATCTCTTACTCAGCACACACACGTGAAGGAAAAATAATAAACAAATAAATTGTTATGTGAACATCAGGTTCAAGCAAATGGCAACAACTTTTGAATGGTTACTGTGGTGACTAGGACACTTAGCCAGATTTTCATCAGATTCTTGCAATTGTGTCTAATGTCTTAGACTCTTAAGACCATGGGTAGGCAAACTAAGTTCCGGGGGCCAGGGCCGTCCCATTCGCCTTCTAAATCCGGCCCGCAGATGGTCTGGGAATCAGCATGTTTTTACATGAGTAGAATGTGTGCTTTTATTTAAAATGCATCTCTGGGCTATTTGTGGGGCATAGGAATTCATTCATTTTTTTTTCTTTTCAAAATATAGTCTGGCCCCCCACAAGGTCTGAGGGACAGTGGACCGCCCCCCTGCTGAAAAAGTTTGCTGACCCCTGCTTAAGACCTTGCTTGTTAGTTACATGCCGTCGCAAAACAGCTTTTTTCATCTCAAAAGTCTGTCCTAAGATGTCATGTTCGCTCTCTGGAACAGGAAAATAACGACAGTGTTGTTGTTTATCTGCCTGTTGTGATTTCCCAAGCTTCATCATTATCATCATCATTTATTTATTTATATGCCACCCTTCTGACTGGGTTGCCCCAGCCACTCTAGGTGACTTCCAACAAATCAAAACATCAAACACAGTAAAACATCAAACACTAAAAACTTCCCTATACAATCATCACCACCCAATGTTTTCTTTGTTTTTTCTCAGACCTGAAGTTTGGCATTTCTTTTTCCTCACAATGCAATTGCAGCACCAGCCTGTCCAGTGTGGGCAGGCAAATATAACATCTCAGGGCTTCTGTGCCTTTGATTTAATATCTCCTGTTTGCAGGTCTAACCTTGCAACATCTTCTCCTGCAGAGAATTCCTTACAGATAGCTTTGAAAATTATGTAACTCTTACTTAAAAGTAAATAAGCACTCAGTTCCAATGCACCATCAGTGTTTCCCAAACTTGGGTCTCCTGCTGCTGTTTTTGGACTATGATTCCCATCATCCCTGACCACTGGTCCTGCGACCTCTCACTTGAGAGGACACCAACAACAAAATCCACCAATGGATTTTCACTCTTTGAAATCTGGCAACCCTAGTATAGGCAGCTTTGGGTAGGTAAGCTTGTGCAATTTTCACTACAGAGCTGGGGAATAATGTGGTACGTGTCCCAAAGTTAAGTTGCGAGGGTGGTAAAAACCTCTGCAAAATGTCCTTCTCCCATCATTTTTCTGTACTGAGACTGACTGTGCCCTCATGTGGTAAGACTTGGTATTAGCAGTGGCAGCATGAACTTTCGTTTTCATTAGACCCCCCCCCCCCGCTGCGGCAAACCTTAAATTCCAAATAAAAACTTGCTGGCAAAAAATGACAGTGTAAGGATGCGTTTGGCTATGGCAGGAAGCTGGACCATAGGTAATGAAATGCACCACAGTTTTAGGAAACTAGTAATACATTACACCTGGGCACTTGCATGATTAAATACATGATATGTGGGGAAGGATAGTGGGAACTCACTTTGTTGCTGCCCCCAATCTACATATGGGGAAGCAGACATGTGTAGGAGGGCACTTGCTTTATGCAAGTACCGTGGTACCTCAGTTACAGATGCTTCAGGTTACAGACGCTTCATGTTACAGTCTTCGCTAACCCAGAAATAATACCTTGGGTTAAGAACTTTGCTTCAGGATGAGAAAAGAAATTGTGTGGCGGTGGTGTGGTGGCAGTGGGAGGCCCCATTAGCTAAAGTGGTGCTTCAGGTTAAGAACGGACCTCCAGAATGAATTAAGTTCTTAACCTGAGGTACCACTGTATGATTTTCCCCTACCCCATGGTGTGGAACCATGATTGCACTGGAAAGCATAACTCTGCTCTCTCGATTCATATAATTGTTAACGGTGTTAGATTAGCCCCCCAAATAGGGCCATCGTTACATCATGGTACTTTGCGTAGTGAAGCATTGGGCATGCTGAGATTTTGTTTTGCATATATTAATATATACTTTAATTTACAGTACCGGACGACAGCGATTCTGAATCTGATCAAAGCACAGTGCTGAATTTGAAATCCCAAGCAGGAAAAATTCTGAGAGACCAGAGGCTTCGACAGCAGCAGTGTAGGATGGAATGGAAAAATGAAACGGAGAGGAACAACAGAGAGACAGCAAGCCAGGGAAACAGAGGCTTCAGACAACCACTTTTGTCAAGGCCAGCATTTGGCGCACTGAACGAAGAAGAGTCAGCGGAAGATGAGGGACCCGCTAAACCACTCCCACCGCCTCGTTTAATCCGACAGGCTTCAAAAAGGCCTAGTGATAAATCCGAGAATAAACCATATTGAAAGCTGCTAAATGGAGCCATTAACAATGAACAGCAGAGGGAGGCACTTTAAACTGGACAGATGGAGCCATTTAAGTTCATGGGTACTGGTTGGGGATGGGAGGGAAAGAAATCATGTTATTTCACTACGTGAAAAAAACAAAAAACTCTTCACCTTCTGTGGAACCAAATAATGCAACTATTTTGTTTTATATTTTGTTTTTAAACTTCTGCAATGAAGATAAGTTTTATCAGTTAGATACAGTACTTTTGAATGTAAATTGTGTTTTGTGTGTTTGCCAGTGGCAGGTTTGCAGTATAAGTTGCACTAAGAAATTGCACAATGCACTTCTTTTTAAAAGAATTCACCCTCAGAAAGCAATTCTAAGAGTGCCTGATGCACTGAAACACAATTAGGTGTTGCAAACTGTGAAACTGAACAAATGCAAGAGATTAAGGCTGCAGTACAGCCTTTATCATTTTGCCCATGCAATATGGAAGTTGCTTCTGAAACCCAAATTCTAACACTATGTAAAGATGTAAATGGAAAAGCTTTTGTTTCTATTGCCATGCTTTTTACTGTAATAGAAAAGTGGTATGGGAATATACTGCTCTTATGCATTGTCAAAAATGCCCCTCTACTTGATAATTCCAACAACTCTTTGGATTTAGTTGTTGAAACTTATCACTTGAAATATATTAATTTATAAATATATATGCACTTTTCTGGAGCATTTTGTCATTTTTGTCTTAAACCTACAAAGTTTGAACAAATTAAGTAAATGAGCTCATGATTGGATAGTCACCTCAATACGTTGTTTTCAGTCCAAAATTGTTTCGTTTATTGACTTCAAAATTGAATTTGATCCTCTCAGTAGGTTTTATGGATCTGGATTTTATTTCACGGAAAATACAGTTATATTTGCTTAATAAATGAAAAGATATATATACAGAATGGCAAAGTGTGAAATGAAGCATAAACTGGATGGGGCTATGAAAAAATTTGATTTTGACAAACATTTCCCAAGCAGTTCTAATAGCATAATACATCTTTATTTGGCGGTAAAATGGCTAGTTTTTCCTGGGTTTGTGCTGCAGTAAGTTTACGGATGCTTTGAAAGCAGAACTGCTGAAGTAATACCTAATCTCTAGTGCCATCTGTTGGAAGATACAAAACACAACTTTCTTTTCAGTTTGCTCTGTACCAACACAGAATACTTCATGTTTATACAAAAGTATCAATCATCACCTAACAGTGATTAAAAGCTCTGTGAGAAGAGTTGATCGTTTGAAGACAGAGTCCTATACATACTTACCTTGGAGTAAGCCCCATTGAAGATTGCAGAGTAATGTGGGTAGTTTATGCCTCGCATAACAAACTAATATTTGAGGAACCAGGCAGTGACAAAGTGAGGAAGTCCAAACTCTATACATGTGATGTAACTATTGTTTATCATTTAGTACAAAAATGTTTGTGATTTATAACGTGGCTAAACTACAAGGTTTGCCACCACCACAGGACTCTCGACACAATCACCTCAAACAGCCTTAGGAGTGGTTGGTAATGGTGTGAAAACTCCAACTGATAATCCATATAGCAAGTTGTTCTACAAGTGCCCCTTTAAAATGTGGGGTTTTTTGGGGGGGGGTATTGTTTTTATTTCGATTATATATTTTTGTGCTTTTATATTTTGATTTTGTTCTGTGAATCACTCTGAGACCTCTGGGTATAAGGCGGTATATAAATTCTAATAATAATAATAATAATAATAATAATAATAAATAGTGTAAACACTTTACAAGTGTAAATACTCAACACATGGAAGCTGTTTGGAACAGCCTCTGTGTGGGATGTGCAATTTATAGACCAGCAATTATTTTGGCTGGAATAATGAGCAAATAGACAACAATAACTGACGACAAGCAGGAAAGGTGGACATTCTTTTCCCTTTTATTTCCAGTTACCAACATTGTTATGTAATTCCCAGAGCTCTTAACTTTCAAGAGAACAATGCGAAGCCATTTTAAACTGCCTTCAAATGAAGTACAATGCATCCCTGAGGGACTCTTTTTACAGATGTTCTTTGTCCCGAATGCTCCACAGATACGAGAAATGATTCCTAAATGTTTATTCTGCTACATCATGTAAGTAGTTAAGATTGATTTCTGAGCTCGCAGTTTCAAAAGAAACTTTGCAGACCAGTTTTGAACTGTGAGCAGGTAAATGTTCATACGCACATTTCCCTAGGAATTGAGCCTCTTCCTGGACGGCACTAAAGCAAGCAAAGGTTCCTAAGAACAGAATGCATCTACGCTTGGGCAGAGGTACTTAACCAGCTCCCAACTCACCACCTCTTTGCTCTGATCCCCATCTCACCACAGCTACTCTCACATGCTTTGAAATTCTAGCCTTAAATTTTATGACAAATGCAACTGGACTTTCATTTGGAGGGTGTGGAGAGTAAAAGCGGAAGAGGTGCAACCTGGAGTGCAGAAGCAGCAGGCAGAAAAAATGTTCAACATCATCCCTTGCCAACTAGCTTTTTGGGATGGTGAGGCCATCAAGGTTCATTTCCTTGCTTTTGTGTGCAATATGTAGTTAGGCCCTAAATAAATACGCTTAGAATTGCAGCCTTAGTACGGATGACAATTCTATCTTGCCTGTTTTGTAAATGCATCACCTTTTTTTCTTATCTGTTTTATTAAATGAGTGCAGCCTACCAAGCCTTCTTGTTTTTGCTGCCTCCCTCAGATTGCAGTCTACAATATGCATTAATCTTAGTGGGACCAAGTTGTCCAAGCCTGTGCCAGTGCCATTTTAACTAAAAAGCAGGCCATATTTCATTATATTTCAGCTGGAGTTGATTGGACAATTGTTTCTATTTCAAGCAGCTGATCAAAGACGGATGAATACAAAACAGGGACATCCCTATGTATATATTTTTGAAGCAAGCTCCATCTACTTGTTTTCAAAAAGGCATACCGTTAGTTTAAGGTTTGTGGCTCTTGAGGTTTGAGTTACATGTAATACAGATTCCAGCTTCAATGCTCTCACGTTACATCACATTATTACACTTGGTACGAAACCAATGCTCCTGACAAACCTGACCAGGTAATTCCTCCAAGCCCCCAAACTCAACAACAAAATTGCCGCCAAGCAAGTTAAAACTCTCTTTTAAATATGTGGCCGCCGTCACAAGCCTCCTTTAAGGATGTCTGCTGCAGAGAGCAGCCTTTCCCCATTCCTGTACTATTTCAAGTATAAAGGAAACATGCATTCCTTGAAACACAACACTTCAGTAAACCATAATAAAGAGGAAACGACTTGCTTAGGATGTCCTGTAGCAAAGGAGGAGGTAGGAAACTCCTGGAAAACCCCCAATATGGACTCTTCCTGCTTTTGAGTCTTTGCTGCGGCTTTGTAAACCCCACAGCTGATGACCCTGAGTGGTAGTATTCTTCCCAAGTCGAAAGCACATTTGTCATTAAGGTCCCCTTCCCCAGTAAGTGTTCAGTGTTAGAATTGTTCCAAACCAAGATGGCACAACTAGTAGAACACCACCTTTAATAATTGCATGTTAACTAAAGATTCATTACTCTGCAAACATATACAAGGACCACAGCCCTGCAGAAAGTCCAAACCTTGCCCTGCATCTTCTGGCAACGATGTGTGAGGCTTGAAGGAAGTCTGCCCCACATTTTGAGATCTAACTGGACCACAGCAGAAATGGACAACATCTCTTCCATTCTCCGTTTTTCTTTTGGAATGACACCACATACCTGGAGTCAGGCTCTAGTCCTATTGTCATACTTGTTTTTAAAATACCTACACCAGGATTTTAATCACAATTTAAAATTATTTGAATAGATGTAATGTTCAGCAACTTTCCCTTTGCACTACAACCAGCAAGATTTCTTATTAGCTGTGTGAATTAACGCCCCTTCACCAGCCTCAAATTTACCTGTTAAGTTTACTGGTCAGGATGAAAGATAAGGGAACTGTTCTTTCCTTGACGCTATAGTGTTTCGTTATAAAGCGTCCCAACAACAGTCCTCCTGAACCTTTAACATTTTCATTTCTCAGTTGTGTTGCTTTTTTAAGTAGCAGCACTAACAGCTTATCTCATTTTAACTCTGGCGCCCCTGATGACTGTGTATCGTGATTTGTTGAGGACCATGATGAGAACAGCTATAAATCCCAACAGGCCCCCGAGAATGGGAGGCCCACAAGGGCTGAACTCCTGGGCGATTCCTGACAGAAGAGGGGAAAGTATGCGGCCGACGGCCGAGACCGACTGACCGACACCTATGAGCATACCACTGGCCTGGTCCCCCCCCAAAGTCAGCTCAAGATCAGTAATGCAAGTACGTCCGATGGTGGTCGAAAATGCTAAAAAGGTGGAGGACAGGACCACCGCCCATACGTTCTTCGAGAGAGAATATATCATCGTGAGCACGCAGGTGAAGATGGTGGACCGCAGTAAGATGGCGTAGGTGTTGTGCTTATATAGTCTTGTAATTGGTCCGAGCAGAAAGCCAGCAGCCACTCCAAGCGCACTGCTGTAGCTTATGAGGTAACCAGTGAGTTTAGGTTTGATCCCAAACCTCTCTTCAAGTGCCAAGACAAAATTGCTATGGTAAAGCATGACTGCGATTGACATCAGTAGCCGTACCAGGAAGACATCCCGCAGATCGGAACGGGTAATGCTGCGAATCCTCTTCAACACAGAGACAATCTGAGCCCAAGAGGTCTGGGGGTGTGTACTGTTCCTTGTGGCTTCGCGAGATAGAGGGTCCTTCTGCAAGCTGAGCTTTGCCACTGGTAAGGGACTGCCTTTTGCTGGGTTAATAATGCTCCAGTCGTTACCATGCTTTTTCTTTTCGAGCCATAGCAGTATCCAGAAAAGACCTGCAAAGGAAATTGAGACACCTTTACAAATCGAGGCTGTGCTGCTGGTTTTCTAGAAATAACCTAGTGCCCATCGAAATGTATTACGCAGGCCCGACGTAAGATGGAGCCAAACTTTGGGGGCAAAGCAGAGAAACTGTTGTGGGCAATATATGCATGCCACAACCAAGCGCACACTGCTACCTATTATATTGGAAATAAATACAAAAATTGTCCAGTAGCACCTTAGAGACCAACTAAGTTTGTTCTGGGTATAAGCTTTTGTGTGCATGCACACTTCTTCAGATTTTTACCCAGAACAAACTTAGTTGGTCTCTAAGGTGCTACTGGACAATTTTTTAATTTATTTCAACTGCGTCAGACCAACACGGCTACCTACCTGAATCTATTATATTGGCTACAACAGAATGCTGCCTATGGAGATCTGACAATTACTTGTAGGGCAAATGGATATCATCTGGCCAAAATGGCCCAGGGGACAAATGGAGAGGGTCTGTGAGCTGTAGGTTCCCCATCCGTAATTGATGCAACTACTGCAGTTGGTCAATAAATATACAAAAGACTGATAACAATAACAACATTTATATTGTAAAAGGAGGGGCATCAAGAGAAAAATATCAAGCAACATACCAGCATTCAAGATGAAGATGGAAGCACAGATGAAAGCTGTGATATAAAAGCCCCCCTCGAGCTCCGTAAGGTAGCCTCCAACAACAGGCCCCAGAATGAAACCAATACTGGCAGCGGCGTTGAAATGTCCTATTACTCGGAGGCGGTCCTTCTCAGAAACCAAGTCAGAGATGAGAACTTTGGAAACTGAGTGTGTGTGTTTGAAAATACCTAGAAACGAACGAGAAATGTGTTTAGAGAAGAAATTTACTTAGAGAAGTGCAGATCCCAAACTGTCAAACCCATGTCATAAAGGCAGCAGAGAAGGAAAGAAAAGTTGAAAATGCAATAAAATTTTCTTTTCAATCTCTAGCTTGGGCTAGTCACACTTCTCTGAAGTCTCTCAGCCTCACTCACCTCATAGAGTGTTTGTTGTCAGGGAGGAAGGGAAAAGGAGATTGTTAGCCGCTTTGAGACTCCTTCAGGTAGTGATAAAGCGGAATATCAAATCCAAACTCTTCTTCTTCTTCCTCCCCAGAAGTGACTAATTGTGTGATCATTTTAAAGTTGGGCATTAGTGTTACGAGAAGAAAATCACAGATACTTAAGATTATTTTTAAGACAAAATTAAATCGAATAGCTTTTATTCTGAAACTATAATAACAGCCTTAAAAATATTGCAATTCATGGTTTCTATCGCATTTTTATTCTGCCTTTCCCTCAAATCCTCACAAAGGCCCTGTGAGCAAGGTTCAGCTGAGCTTGCGTGCGACAGCTCCAAAAGTAACTAACCAGCCTCCTGACTGAGTGAAGATTTGAACCCGGATCTCCCTGGTGCCCTTTACCCACTAGGATGTACTTTTTGCAACTGACTGCTGTTTCTGTTCTTGTTTAGAGATTTCCTATACCTTTAGCAAACAGCCGGCGGGAGATACTTTGCAATGTTGCTAGCTTTACTACAAGGCTGGAGGACAAGATGCTCCCACTTTGCTAACCAATGACGCCATAATGAAATTAAAAGGTTGCATTTTGGGAACTTTTGACTGTGGCAACAACAAATGTAAGCTACCCTAGGAAGGTTTTTTTGAAGGATAAAGCTATCCTAAAAGTAAGAACAGCCCTACACTGAATAATTCTATCACTCATAGCAAGAATGGGCATACCATGGCCCTCGTTTCAAATCTTGTCCCCTTAATTAAAATGGGAGAAATATAGCTTTCCCACTGGGGAAAAATGGTATTAAAAGTGCTTAACTGGCTCTATTACATATAATGCATTTAACTCTTCAGAATTTGTGCTTCTCAGAAGTAAGAGGAATGAACTATGCTATGATTATCCACTACTGATTGAAAGATGAACTGAGCTCGGGTATGAATAGCCAAGCAGCTACTTACCCACAAAAATCCGAGCAACAGCAAATAAAACCACATTGCTGGAGACACTAAGCATAAAATAACCCAATGCGCTGAAGATAATGCAGACAAGTAGGCAATAAGGTCTTCCCACCACATCACTCCAGGATCCCTGGATAATACAGAAGGAGCCTGTTCAAGTCAACACAGCTGCCTACTTCCTATTTCCATGGAATTATAAATAACATTAATTGAAGGGGTGGGGTTGTTGCTCAACCCTTTTCATTAATGCGTTCTGATAATAATTTCACTCTCGTAACATAGTGTGACAATAACAGTTAAGCTAAATAAAGAAGTTGATATTTTAGATAGATAGTGGCACTGACTGGTACTGAACACGGGTATGATTACAAACGTAAAAATGTGTTTTGTGATATCTGGTTTGAACAAGCAATTTTTGCTTGGGTTGGTGTTGGTGTTGGAGCTATAGAAAAGGAGGGGGAGACATAAACATTTGGTTATAGGCTGGGATTAAGGGGGGGAGGAAGAACCTAAATGCCACCATTTAGGGACCCCATCCTGTAAAAGCTAAAGAACCGCATGGCATTTCCCTGATGTATTAGATAATTTTCTAGAACTGCAGTAACAACAATAAATAAGTAAAGTCCAGCTACAGAAAGGGCAGCTTCTTATTTTGAAGTACATGCGGAAATTTCAAAATTAATCTGAAGTAATGGTTTAATTACTCTGTTGTCTCCAAAAGTAAAGGCAGCCCAAGAGGCTACCTATAATGCACAACAAATTGCTTTTGAAACTGAGGAGTTTCAAATACAGTTTGCCATATGGTGGTCATTTGTTGAACAACAATGGAAGCTCCCCTACGTTTGTTTAGCAGACAGGGGTCCACTGTCCCTCAGACCTTGTCAGGGTCCGGAATATATTTTGGAAAAAGAAAATGAACGAATTCCTATGCCCCACAAATAACCCAGAGATGCATTTAGAATAAAAGGACACATTCTACTCATGTAAAAACACGCTGATTCTCGGACCGTCCACGGGCCAGATTTAGAAGGCGATTCAGGTGGATCCGGCCCCCAGGCCTTAGTTTGCCTACCCATGGAACTCTTAGATGCCAGCTCTGTCACTATGCATCCCACTCAAAAAATACACTTTTAATTTGATCAGTTTTTATCACATCACTTCCACAGCATATGTATGTATTGTCGCACTAACCTTATGGGACAGGCTCAGCTGAGAGATACTGACTTACTCACAGCAACCCAATAAGCTAAAGAGTTCAACAAGAAATTGAAGCTGGAATGCCTGTATTTAAATACAACATTCTATCTACTGCATCACACTATTCCAGACATTAAAAATGGTGACCAAACTTACCACTAAGGTACTGGAAATGAGCTGCAGAACGCCATATAAAGATCCTAAAAGTGAAGGAAGCATTTTTAAAAATCAGAGTAGAATTATAACTTCATAGACTTTCTTTTTTAAAAAACCTTTATGTATGCAATTCTAACTTTTATTTACGCAATTTACCAGCTTTTATACACACATCTTATGTTATCCACCACTTAGCTCTTTTCCTAAGACTTCCCAATCCATCTCTCTGTGACATTCTAGAGAAATCTGGATCTGAGGCATATCCTGATATTTCACCCATTATCATCTCAAGTCTTCCTTTTTTGATGTTATCTGCTGCTCATATGTTAACTCCTACTTGTAGGTTAAATTGCATATTGTACCCTCTAAAATAATCTCCAAAACACCTCCACTCTTCTCTTTAACTCATCCTTATTCCTTAGTTTCCTGGTCATGGTTACTAGTTCTATGTATTCTATCAATTTGTTCTGCCAAATTTCTTTTGTGGGTATCTCTTCTCCTGCTCCCCATTTGTTTGCATATACAATACTATTTTAGCTGGTGCGGTTGCATACAAAAAGATATCGAGTGCCTTTTGCAGATTTTCAAAGAAGGGGGAAAATATATCCTGACTTGTTCCAGCTGCAAACTTTGGCTCACTGACTCTTCCGGCTAGATAATTTAAAAATAAAATAAAAAAATAGGAAAAATCCCACCATTTAGTGAGTCTGTGTCAAAGACAGATGAAAGAAGAGGTATGAATAACTCACTGAAAGAAGCCAAGGTATGCCTTATATTTTCTGCAATACTTGGGATATGATGCCAGACAAATCTGTGTGGGGTTGCCTTCCCACAAATTTGTGTGGGAAGCTTGAATCCACTGCTTGAGCCCAATGGAACTCTGCAGCCGTGGAACATTGAACCAATCAGGAACAGTCTATGAACCAATGCCATTTTAACACACCTTTCCCAACATGGTGCCCATCAGATTTAGAGACAGCAACTCCCATTAACCCCGTCTAACATGGTCAAGGGCCAGGGTTGGTGGGAGTTGCAGTTCAACAAAACCTGGAGGGCCACAACTTATCTGTCCTTGATTCAGACATGGGCGGCAGATGGCAGCTGATCTTAAGAGGCCACGACAGGATGCAGTTTGTACTGGGCAAGTGCAGTGCATAGTTACATATACCAAAGGCCAGAATTGTGTCCAGCAAAACTTCAGAACTTTCAGAACTTTCAGAAATAGCATGTTTCTAAATTTTACTAAAAGAAACGCTTCCAGATATATCATTTTTGTTTGAATTTGGAAAAAGGCCATTGAAGCGTATCACCTGTCTACTAGCAACAAGGAACTGCATGAAGGCAAGCGCATGGAATTCCACAAATGTGAGAGCAAATTGGTGGAGGAGGGATGGAGCAAACATAGCACAAAACGAAGCAATCACAAGAAAAAGGAAGTCCCCCTTCTCTGTATGCAGCATACAAATCAGCAGGCTGCTGCAGGCTGGTAACTTTTGTAGGTTTATTTATGAGACAAGTTTAATTCGGATCAGAGTTCTCTTTGGTGGCAATGCAATGGAACGGTATAGTAGACTGGAGGTTTTACAGTAAAGTAAAAACTCATTGGCATGTATTTGAACACAATAAAGGCAAACCACTGACATTCTTACTGCATAATTAAGTGACTGTAATGTGTTGAGTCCTTAGTTATAAACTCAGGGTTTGATTTTGGGGTCTCCTGATGCTGACATGCGTAAAGCAGTTTAGAATAAGTTCAATTTGACTTGCACATGAGAATAAAAATAGTGTGAAAACAGTGGTGAGAAAGAAAAAAAGAAATCGTCTTCAATAAGTTAGAGCACAGGTACATCAGTGCAAATTACTGGAATAGGTTCAGGAGAAAAAGAAGCATTTCTTCACATAAAACATACAAATTTCACTATCATAAGCTGTGGTGATGGCCATCAACTAAGCATACTCAAGCTGCAGTTCTAAGGAAGGGGAGGCAAGCCCCAGAGATTGACTGCCTTAGACAAAGCTCTCATTGGGGCTCTATTCAGCAGAGTGGAAACAAAGGCAGAGGAGCACTTTTGCATTTTTCTGCGCTTTTTCTGGTTGTTGTTTTTTTAAACCAACCAACCAACCATTTCCCTCACACTGGAAACTGTAGGAAATTCACAAAGTTTTCTAAATATCTCCCCAGTTTGGGAACATCCTGGGTTGCTAATATGGTTTGGATCCAGGCCAATTCTTGGTCTTGCCCAACATGCCCCCAAACTGTTTCCAATTCGCCCCCCACCTGCCTTTGGCTCTACCAATGCCAGAGCTCTGGTGGTAGTTAGATGTTTCCACCAAAGGGAGAATCCAACACTGGCTCTGAAGTTAGAGATGGAGCTCTGAGATATTATATGATTCCTGGCATGTTCTCTGTAGGATTCTTCCTTACAGATTTAATATCTAAACAGCAGTTGTAGTGGATTTCCCCCCTATGGTATAATTAAGCCCAGCTTCTTCCCGCCTTACTAGTAACATAATGCAAAATGTAAATGACAACTGGTTTAGTCATTAGACTTTCTGTTTCTTTTATGATAATCACAAAGGGTGATATCCAACTATGTAATGCTCAGAGAAGACCCACTGGAATAAAGGGACTTGCCCACATGACTTTAGTGTGTGGGCAGCTGGTATGGGAGGGAAGGTATTCCTTCAAATACTTAGGTCCCAACCTATTTAGGGCTTTAAAAAGAAGCACCAGCACTTTAAACTGGGCCCAGAAGTCAATAGGCAGCCAGAGAAGTTCTACGGTTGGCAAGAAATGATGCAAGTAAATAATCAAAACTCTGGTCAGCACAACCTGCACTAACTGAAGTTTCAGAACCATTTTCATAGAGAACACAGTGTATAAGAAGAAGAAAAAGAAGAAGAGTTTGGATTTGATATCCCACCTTTCACTCCCTTTAAGGAGTCTCAAAACGGCTAACATTCTCCTTTCCCTTCCTCCCCCACAACAAACACTCTGAGGTAAGTGGGGCTGAGAGACTTCAGAGAAGTGTGACTGGCCCAAGATCACCCAGCAGCTGCATGTGGAGGAGCGGAGACGCGAACCCGGTTCCCCAGATTACAAGTCTATCGCTCTTAACCACTGCACCACACTGGCTCCCACACTGTATAATGCTTTGCAATACTTCAGGGGGGATGTAACAAGCGTATGGGTAACTATGGCCAGACTATCTCCGTCCAGAAGTCTCAGCTGGACACACCAACCCAAACTGCTGAAAGGCGCTCTGTGCTAAAGGCTTTCAAGTAAGTCAGTTGTTCAAGAGCCAGCCTTGTGATGTCACAGACCGACTTTCAAGAAAAGGCCCTCACTGCTGGCTGCTTAGCAGGGTATAGGGAAGTCTTTCATTTTCTATCCCCAGGTCCATTAACAACTGTTGCTAACTTAAATGACAACTTGCACATTTTTATACCAGAGGCTTCTGAGTGAGACCCTGCTGCTTCGGACTGGCTGGTTTCCACAGCCTTTCGCTGAAAAGGAAGGCACACTTCCTCCAATTGCTTACAAGGTTAGATGATGTGCTCACCTACCACTCCTGCAACTGTTGGGCTTGCTCCTATAGACTTGATGTGAAGGCTTAATAAGGGGACAATCATGCTGACACCAAAGAAATCCTGGAAACAGACAACACAGATTTTCAGCGACTTAAGCATATATATACCCAGGCCAGTTATGCACTGTGATGTACATTTATGTACTGACACTGTAATTTCACAGCAACTTTTGCACAACAAAGAAACCTAGTACGTTGTGTAATCACTTGCTTTTGCTTCACGTTCTATTGTTGCGTCCCAAGGAAAGGACCTGTCCCGGTAATATAAAACAAATATGACTACATTTGCTTATAAAACTCCCATTTAAGGGATACTTCTGGACTATGGGGGTGGGGAGGGTGTGCGAATTATGTGGCATGCTTGCTGAATGTAGTGTGTACGTTCAGCAGCGCCGTTATGATTTCAGGCCTGAAGGAACTCTTCAAGACAGCATTGTGCATCACTTCACTTACAGATGTGATAAACTAGCCCTACTGCATCTGAGGGCAGGGGGCTGTCCTGCTCATTCTGCAGTGGCATGGTCCAGGACATGTGCCCCCCAAATCATCCCTGGTGGTACCACTGTACCATTTGATTAATTTTCAATTACAATCCAATAATAGCCTCATTATAACAACACCAAATTATAATAGTTACTTATACCAATCATTCAAATGCTGAATTATATAACTTAGGCGCCCCCCTACCCCGCATGCTAGATTTGATGACTTTTCTTTATTTCTGTGTTCCAAACGGCCGTGTACATTTGGTGCTTATGGCCATAGCTGTCAACCTTCCTTTTTTTTGCAGGAAATTCCCTTATTCCAGTGCTGTTTCCCGCTGATATCCCGGATTGTTAGATATCCCGTAGACTGTCCCCGGGACAGGCGAGGCTGCTGATCCCTTATTTTCAAATCTGAAAGTTGACAGCTATGTTTATGGCATGTGCACATGCACACGAAAGCTCATACCAATAAATTTAGTTGGTCTCTAAGGTGCTACTGGAAGGAATTTTATTTTTTATTTTGTTCCTAAAACATTGCCATCCCTAGCCAGCAGTCAGGGACGATGAGGGAAACTGTAGTCCAAAAGCAGGTGGGAGGCCCAAGTTTGGGGGAAGAAAAGACTGTTTTTTTAGTGGCAGGATTTATAGCTGGCGAGGAGCCAGCGGTGCAGTGCGCGCGCGCGCCTCTGAACATGTGCAGAGTGCATTCTCCTCGGGAGGCACGAGTTCAAGGGGGGTGTTTTTTTCTGAGAGAGGTCTCTCCTCTCTCTCTCTCCCCGACCCCCTCAGGGGGCTTCGCCTGCCGGCCCCGGGGTCTCCCCCGGCCTCCTTGCCCGCCGAGGCCCAGCTCACCAGGAAGCCCACGGCGTAGAGGCAGAGGACGAAGCGGCTGGGCCAGGCGACCCCTCCGCCGCCGCGCAAGGACGACGTCGACGGCACCGAGGGCATTCGCAGCGGCGTCGCCGCCACTACCACCTCCTCTTCGGCCGACTCCGCCTCCGTCTCGGCCCCCCGCGCGCCGAAGGGGCCGCCCAGCAGCGCCGGCGGCACCCGGTCCCTGCCGCGCCTCCCATCCGCCATGCGAGGGCGGAGGAGCCGCGGCGACCAGGAAACGGGGAAACACAACCGGCGCAGCGGCCGGGAGAACAGCGGGGAGGCTCCGCCGGGGAGCGGCAGCCGCTCCGCCCCGCCCCCGGAAGGCGGGGCCTAAGAGAAGTTCCGCGCCTGCGCAGCGCCCGCTCGGCGTTCTGAGGGGAATCGTCATTCGCTTGTGAGGAGAGGGAACGAGAGGATGGGCGGGGCATATAGGCTCGTCAGGGTTTTTTGCCGAACTTGGGTCGCATAACCTCCCATCAACCCCGAATACAGGTCTTGCTAGCTAAAAGGACGATGGGAGTTGTAGTCCGGTGTTGCCTCAAACTTGGAGCTTCCGCGGCTACAACTCCCATCGTCCCTGACTTGGTCGCTAGGGATGATGGGAGTTGTAGTCTCTGGAGAACCCCACGTTGGGCTAAATAAGCTTCATTTCAGCAAGAGGTTGGACTCGGTGACTATCGTCATCCCTTCCAGCGCTAAAGTTCTGTGACAGAAATACTTCCCCCTTCACCCTTTTGTAAAATAATAATAAAAAAAACTCTCTCACAGCTTTGTGACATTTCGGCTGGATGACCTAATAAAGTTGGCTTTGGAGTGTTTTGTCAAATCCATTATCCTGATTTTTGATTAAAGAAAAAGGGCGTATTTATCCTCATGGATTACCTATATATCAAACTGCAAGATTTTTAGTGGGGGCAATTAGAATAAGATCTATTATTTGATTGTGGATGTAAAACCCCAAAATGTATATTCTGTAGTTAAGTTTTTACCTCTGTATTCAGTACATTTTTTTTTATTTTATTGCCGATGCAAATAAAGATTCTTATGATTCTGATTCAAACTGTGATCAAAGAAGAACCCCTTGTTCTTCTGGATGGTAATAGAAATGTGTTAAGGAATGTGGTTGGTGTGCATAGGTGTACCACCAGTCTTAAGGACGAAGCAAATGTGGCTTATGTTTTCTAGTCGGATTGAAGCTTGTTTGGCTCATCATTCTTATATTGCCCTATCTTTGCTGAACAGCAACACACAGTCATAGTTCTCTTTCTAGGCATGACCTCTTGACATTACTGGTTCCTTTTCTGAAGCTTGACTCTGTCACAAGCTCACTGTATACATTTTTTTTAAGAAAGCACATTTAAAGTGCCCCCACCAAATAACCCTAGCAATTGTTGTTTACCCTGCACAGAGCTACAGTTCTCAGCACCATTAACAAACCCCAGTTCCCAGGATTCTTTGGCGTGGGGGTGAACTGGCTTTAAATGCATGGCGTTTAGGCAGCCTGGGCAATTGCAATCTGGGCCAGTGCCGGATTTATGTATAAGCTAAACAAGCTATAGCTTAGGGCCCCACTCTCTTGGGGCCCCCCAAAAATTAAAGAAAAAACAATAACCCTGGATGTACATTTCCAAAATATAAGATTAAAAAACAAATAAAATAAAATCTACATATAGCAACAGTGTTTTGTGTTGTGTAGGCTGCTATTTGTTATGTGCAAATAGTTTAGATACCAATTAGGTCCATAAATTGTTGTTGTTTAGTCGTGTCCGACTCTTTGTGACCCCATGGACCAGAGCACGCCAGGCACTCCTGTCTTCCACTGCCTCCCGCAGTTTGGTCAAACTCATGCAGGTAGCTTCGAGAACACTGTCCAACCATCTGGTCCTCTGTCGTCCCCTTCTCCTTGTGCCCTCAATCTTTCCAAACATCAGGGTCTTTTCCAGGGAGTCTTCTCTTCTCATGAGGTGGCCAAGGTATTGGAGCCTCAGCTTACACTCTGTCCTTCCAGTGAGCACTCAGGGCTGATTTCCTTCAGAATGGATAGGTTTGATCTTCTTGCAGTCCATGGTGTTACCGGAAAAATCTGAGGGCTCCCTTGGACAAAAACAAAGACACCAACCAGGATAACTTGGAGCAAAACAGCAGCCTGCAGGCTTGGCCTTTATTGAACTGTTGCAACAGGGTGTTCCCCTCACTTGCAGGAGAGAGGAAAGACACAGAAAATGGTGTGCAAGACCTTATAAAAACTTTTGAAATTCCCACCCTGTAGATCAAGCCCACCCCCAGAAACATCATGCATACATTACAGAAAGGAGGGGTTGAGGGAGGAGTTGTGGTGGTAACCTGAGTGTCCTGTCACCTGGCTGGTTCCCCTCTACCCCTCCCCATGAGTCATTTTCTGAAGACAAAAGGTAGTCGCAGTTTCCTGCCCCCTGAGGGAAGATCTGATCGTTGTCCTTTGTTCCAGTCCATGCAGAATCCACTCCCATATGCAAGTTCTTTGTGATCTTGATTGTCTTCTGTCTAGGACCATCAGGGTTGGCGTAGCAACTGGGCAGGGCTCCTGTGGATGTGCTGGGATGTTCAAGGGATTATGGCTGGCCTGTATCAAACCTTCCCCATTTTGTAGTCCTTCCTTCATGTAGTAAAATAAAAATGGAACAGTGCAAATCCGATGTATGGTTGATTTTCTATGAATTTATAACAGAAGCGTAGCGTATGTAGTGTGTGAGTGTGTGTGAAGTTTGCACAAACTGAATGATGGGGGGGGGGGGGTTTCCTGCTACAATGGGACTCTCAAGAGTCTCCTCCAGCACCATAATTCAAAAGCATCAATTCTTCGGCGATCAGCCTCCTTATGGTCCAGCTCTCACTTCCATACATCACTACTGGGAAAACCAAAGCTTTAACTATACGGACCTTTGTTGGCAAGGTGATGTCTCTGCTTTTTTTATATGTCCATAAATTACCATATAGCATATATTCAGCACTAAAAACAGTGACAATTTCTTGTTGACAAAGGACAGCTGGACATATAAAGGGCCTCATTACCTTCAGTCCCCATCAAACCTAAATCCGGCCCTGACTGGATGCCGAGCAAAGCGGTATTGTGAACATATCCGCAGTCTGGATCCAATTTATGATGTTCAGTTGAGCTTTCTTCAACATAAGCCTGCATATAGGATTGCAACGGAAAGATAGGCACAATATGGCAGATCGAACCCCAGGAAACGCAAAGTGTGTGTATGGTTAACCAAACATATATTTGGCCCAGTAACTTCTCCATTAAGAAAAAAAAAATCTGAATCTTAAAAGATTTTATCTTTATCAGGGGAGCGAATAATTGTTTCCATAAGGCTGGAGGCCATGGCTGTAAAGGCTACAATTTATTTCTTACAACGAAACATCAGGGCTTAATTTTAGTGTAAGAGATGCCACTGCGAGATTTCCCACAAAGATTCATGAGGTGGGCAGTGTTTATTTTGTTAGTTTCATAAGCAAAACGTATGAAACAGCGACCTCTGAAAGTGAATTGCACAGCTTCTGAAGAATGGAATTCTAAAAGTTTTACAAAATGGCCGGACGTGGGCGCTAGGTAGAGAGTAACTGTGGTGGACATTGTAGGAGTCATAGGAAGTTGTTTTTTTCCCACCCCACCCAAAGTTTATTGCAATTGTACGTTCCGTTTCCTAAAAGGTCTAAACTTTCACAAAGGAGATAAAAACATTGCCATCACTTCCACTGATTCAGGGATACTGAATATGCCTGAAATTCTCTTATTTAGATGTTCAAAATATATATTTATTTGTAACAAAGCAGTTAACACATGTGGGCCTTAGAGAGGTTTAAAACTGAGGCATAGTTTTGACGTAAAATAGAAAAAGGAGTCTGAAATGTGGCTAAAAAGCTGTACGTCTTTGTCCTTTATATCAGGGGTCAACTATCATGGTGCTCAGAAACCTTTGCATCACAAAGGTCTTCAGTAGCACCTACAGGGTACCGCCTCTCTACTGTTTCCCTTCTGAAATTTGGCCTGAAGGAAGCACAGCATTGCCACCAATGGAATAGCTTGTCGGGCATGCATGTTTGCCAATGACTGCGTCTCCTTTTTTTTTGCAAATGCGCCAAGTCTACTGGTGCTGGTTCTGTTGCTATGAAGTAGACTTTAGCTATGGGTTTTGGATCAAGGCATAAAATTTCCTTTTTGGGGGAGGGAGGAGGGTGGGGGGAGTAAGAGGTTGATAGATTGTCACTTTTTAAAAAATTATTAATTTATTTAACATAATCATTGCAAAATATTGCAAATACATACATACACACCGACATACATACATACGTATTTCAGATAAGCACACACATATATATAAAAGAACAAAGGAGAAAAAAAAGAAAAAAGAAAAAGAAAAAAGAAGAAAAGTTGGAAGAATTCTTCCAAATTTATTCTACAAATATCTCAATATGAAAATATTAATAAAATTTCATTGATTGTCTTCCATCGCTTACACTGCACTTCCTATATACATTTTAAGCAAGATTGTATCTGTTATTCCGTATTTTTCCCATACAATCTCACATAAATATTCTAATCAATAAATCTATTCTAAATTGTCACTTTTAACGGGTCAAGAAAGCTCTGTAACAACGCCTGATATTTGTCTGGGTGTGCTCGTCGATCAATGAGGCCCAAGCTTTCGGTGTAGCATGTATGTTCCTGGGTCTCAGCCTGGCTCTGTGCTTTTGTGTGCTTGTCTGTGATGGAGGCTGAGCCAATTCCTTGCCTGCTTATGGGCGGTAGATACATTGATTACATGGCGTACATGCTTGCTGGAGTTGAAACTCAAACCTGCGCCCAGTAACAAGGGCACGCAGTAACTTCATCCCTCTTCCAGGTCTGTTGATGCAAAAGTGCCACAATATTTCCAGTCAATACCCAGCTAAGGGAAGGTCAGCTATTTTGGGCTGGCCACTCCTAGCGAAGGGAAAGCCTGTCAAGTTCCTTCTTCCATGGAGTGTCCTAAAATAGAAGTCCTGTCTATTCGTTAGGCTGCACTTTAATGGAGCACTAATCAAACCACAGCACAAGTGGGAAACCCATTGAGAAAGATTTTTTTTAAAAAAACCCCAACTTCTTTCAAGACTTCAATTCTTTCGGAAGAACTTCTGGTCCGGCAGTTTAATCCTCAATGCGCTGTTTTTCGGGCGAGGTTTTTCTTTCTCTCTAAAAGTATAGTATAAATCTTTCACGTCTGTTTTGTCAAAGAACAACAACCAATAAACAAACAAATCAGCAATGAAATTGAGAGTCGGGATATTTTTTGGAGGCTTATTTGGAGCTCTTGGAATCTTGTTCTTTTTGGTTGCCTTTGGAACGGACTATTGGCTTCTTGCTACAGAGGTTGGAAGGTGTTCAGAAGGCTTGAATGACACCAGGGTTAGTATATATTTTTATTCCTCTGAATGGCATCTTGCACTAGGACCACAAAGGTGCTTGCTTCTTTCTCACCAGAAATATCTCTTACAAATGAGGAACACTCTGTATAGGTTACTGTGAGCCTCATCTAAATCCTATTAACATCCAGGAGATGATATTATGTGATTCTCATCTTGGTCAGTTACGTTCAGAACCAGCAGAGATATTAACCCCCCTCCCCATAATTTTGTAGGCGTCTTCAGAAACCTTTATTAACATTTTTTCTCTATTTTTTACTTGCCTGTATGTGTCTATATTTGCACAGGGAGTAGAGCTCCACTTGGTGAATAGCAATCTACATGTTTCTTTTATACAGGAAGAGAGAGTAACTTTCCACCATGAGGGTTTTTTCTGGAGGTGCTGGTTTGATGGGAATGTCGAAGAGAATGCCCACAGTATGTTAAAGTTTTGGTACAGTAAGTATCCCCCCCTTTGTTTGGCAATATAATTTACTTAGAATTGGTGCTTTTATTTAAAGTATGTCTACATTTCCCAAAAGAGCACTATTTGTATAATGCGCTGGTTCTTAAAGTGGTGGGCATCATAGATGTTTGCTCACACATTAGGAGCGACAATGTTGTGATGTTTCGCAGTGATCACAGAGGGATCCCTTTGGTGCAATTCTACAAATGCTTGTACAAGTACATTATTCAAATGTGTTTGCAACAGCTCGTACAAGAGTTCACACACTTCTGTACTATAGCATTTGTCAACAGCCAGGATAGATGGGGCTGATGAGAATTGTAGTCCAAAACCCCGCAGAGTCTTTTCTGTTGGGGATAATTCAGACTGAAATTCCCAGGTGTCAAAAAAAGGTTATTTATGTATGCCACGACTGCGGTCTGTGTTTTGTTAGCCCCTAAATGGAAAATGGGTGAGGTCCCAACCAAAGAAAATGGCAACTTAAGTTGACAGAATATGCGCAGCTTGAAGACTTAACATATAGAATAAGAGAACGAGAAGAACATAGGTTTAGAGAAGACTGGAAAATGTTTATTGAATATATGGGAAATAACTGTGTGCAGCTGAAAACGCTGGCAGCATTAAGATAAATTCAACAGTGTAAATAAGTTTTGATGTATGTAATAATGGAATACTGAATGGTATAGTTTTTGTAAAATATGCAGGGATTTATAATATGTAAAATGAACCATGAAAAGAGAAGAAGGGAAGTCTTTGATATCTTAAGAAGAAGAAGAGTTTGGATTTGATATCCCACTTTATCACTACCCGAAGGAGTCTCAAAGCGGCTAACATTCTCCTTTCCCTTCCTCCCCCACAACAAACACTCTGTGAGGTGAGTGGGGCTGAGAGACTTCAGAGAAGTGTGACTGGCCCAAGGTCACCCAGCAGTTGCATGTGGAGGAGCGGAGACGCGAACCCGGTTCCCCAGATTACGAGACTACCGCTCTTAACCACTACACCACACCGGCTCTCATGTAAAAATGAGTACTTTAAATTGTAAAACAGAATATATATATATATATATATATATATATATATATATATATATGAATTGTAGTCCAAAATATATGGAGGGCACCAGGTTGGCAAAGGCTCTTGCACTAGGTTTTACATAATTTTGGATGCCTCTGCTTGTTCAAGAGGTTGAACAGGTAGGAGAATATACTTGGATTTGGGTTTACTTTACTCATGCACCACTCTAGCCCAAAATATATTTGATTTATATTGCAAACCCACAGGCAGGCAGGGTCTTTTTTTTTAGTTTGTACTGCACCTCATTATCCTGGGAGCTTTAAAAATAACGAATCATAATGAAAAACAGGTGGCATGCAGGACAGATTAAATGATGGCGTATGAGCTGCTTGCAGTGCTTGACAAGTTCAAGTATGATAGCTATTAATTATTTTATGGAAATCTGCATGGCCCTCCTTTCAATATAATGCACAAGAACGCTTCGCAATAACATAATTTACAACCATACAATCAGTAAACAGTAGCAATACTTTAGCCAAACAACAAAACACAAGAATAGCCGCTTAGTGCAGGTGTAGCCAATATGAAATAATAATCTGGGTCTTTTGAAAAAAATGTTTTGAGATTTTTTTTCTTTAAAAAATGTTTTAAATGTTTAAAACAAAGCAAAACATTTGTTTGGATTGCTTTGCAGTTTTGTTGTTTGCCACACTAAGCCCATTTGGGAAGAAGAGCAGGATAGAAATTAAATAAAGAGGTAGATAAAGGAATATTGTGTCCTCCAGCTCTCATAATCTCTGCCCATTAGTTGAGGTTAATGGGAGTGGAGGTTTAAAATATCTGGATAACACCCCACTGACTACAGTGGTACCTTGGTTTTCGAACATAATCCGTTCCAGAAGACTGTTCAAGTTCCGAAACGTTCGAAGACTGAAAACTCAAAATGGAAGCCTCAAAGCGGAAATCTCAATACGGAAGCTGTGTTTCCGGTTCGACTTCTGAGACACATTCGAAAACCGAAGAATTTACTTCCGGGTTTACGGCGTTCGAGTTCTGAAACGTTAGTCAACGGAGACGTTTGAAAATCGAGGTACCACTGTACCCCATACTTACTCAATGTATGCACTTTAAGGCACATTATATAACAAAAGCCTTCTTTGTTGTTTAATAAAACAGCAATAAAACATCACAATAGCTAGAAAGCTAGGAACTGATATAAATAATTGGAAAAAGCTGGAAAAGAGGCATGTTTTGAATGGTAAGCGAAAGCATCCAATATCCGTTGCCTGCCTGATGTCCATCGGAGTTTGTTGTACCATGGATAAATCCCTTCTCTGTATCACTGTAAAGATAGACATGTCTAGGTCATGGTATGTCTAACGGCTTCCTCTGCAGATTCCAATAAATGCAGGACAGTAGTTTTAATGTGTGCGGTTGCTGTTTTTCAGCAAACCAGTCACCTACGAAAAACTGCACCCATGCCTATCTCTCTCCGTTTCCGTTCTTCCGAGATGAGCACAATTCAACTGCCTACAACTCGGCAATTAGTAAGTATTTTCCTGTTCACTACTGTGTCAATAGCGCTATCGCTTTCACGACTTGCATGAGAGCTCTCCTGTTGGAAAACAGAATCCTAGGCTAAAAGGACCATGCTGCAATCTGAGTAAAGATTAGTTCATGGGGAGGCAAACTAAGGCCTGGGGGCTGGATCTGGTCCAAGCGCCTTCTAAATCCGGCCCACGGATGGTCCAGGAATCAGTGTGTTTTTACATGAGTAGAATGTGTCCTTTTATTCTAAATGCATCTCTGGGTTATTTGTGGGGCCTGCCTGGTGTTTTTACGTGAGTAGAATATGTGCTTTTAATTAAAATGCATCTCTGGGTTATTTGTGGGGCATAGGAATTCATTCCCCCCCCCAAAAAAAATAGTACGGCCCCCCACAAGGTCTGAGGGACAGTGGACCGGCCCCCTGCTGAAAAAGTTTGCCGACCCCTGGCTTAGTTGATTTTCACCCACTATTTCATATGTTTCAATCAATATAATTTGCCATTGCCATTTCATTAATGATCGCTATACAGCAGCACCTCCTAAATGTGTGCATTGAAACTGATTCTCATCTACCATAAGTGCTTTAATTGGAAAAAAAAGTCCTACTTACACCTTGTTCCATTTCTGTGATGTAAGCTTTTGTGTCATGTGATTTGATTTGGCGTCATATACTATTTTATTTTTTATTGGGACGCGTGTGGCGCTGTGGGTTAAACCACAGAGCCTAGGACTCGCCGATGAGAAGGTCAGCGGTTCGAATCCCTGCGACGGGGTGAGCTCCCATTGCTCGGTCCCTGCTCCTGCCAACCTAGCAGTTCGAAAGCATGCCAAAGTGCAAGTAGATAAATAGGTACCACTCCGGCGGGAAGGTAAAGAGGAGCTCCCTCAGCCAATAAAGCGAGATGAGCGCCGCAACCCCAGAGTCGGCCACGACTGGACCTAATGGTCAGGGGTCTCTTTACCTTTACTATTTTATAAAGCATGTGTTGTGTTTAAACATTGGTGCTGTTTCAAATTGACCTAATTGCACCAAGACATCAGTACTTAAAATTGCATTATCTTTGATTTTAAACGATCCACAGAAATGTAGCTTCCTGACTGTTCTATTGCTGCCTCAAAGGCAATAACAATTTGTTAACCCATTCTAAATAGTCGTGCCTATCTAGAAGAAAACATGAATAAATTTGCTGTTATTTCTGGCTTACTTGCACACATTCTTAGGCTGCAAGCTCATTCCCACTTACATAGTAGGAGTAAGCTTCACTGAACTCAATGGGGCTTACTTCTATGTAAAATGTATAGGATTGCAGTGTTTATGATACTTGGGAATCACCATGACACAGAAATGCTCATCTTTAATTTCTTCATATGGACCAATCTCATTGCTAACTACGATCTTAAGATTTTCACTACCCAGAGCAATAGGATTAAATAAATGTTCAGGTTTTAAATTGCTGTTTTCCAGAGACAATTGAAAATGTGGAGTTCTAAAATTTAGATCTAATATTCGCCATAAGCCGGCACTACCACATAACAAGTCAGTTCACAGTGAAGAAGTAATGCAACTACAGTGGTACCTCGGGTTACATACACTTCAGGTTACAGACTCCGCTAACCCAGAAATAGTGCTTCAGGTTAAGAACTTTGCTTCAGGATGAGAACAGAAATCGTGCTACGGCGGCGCAGCGGCAGCAGGAGGCCCCATTAGCTAATGTGGTGCTTCAGGTTAAGAACAGTTTCAGGTTAAGTACAGACCTCCGGAACGAATTAAGTACTTAACCCGAGGTACCACTGTATTATTATTATACAGCATTTGATATATTGTTGTTTGTCTTTGGGGCCCTGCATTCTTCTTCTTAGAATCCCTTTTCGTGTCCTCAGCTACCCATTTCCCAAGGTAACTCTTAATTTCCAAGACAAGAAGTATGCGGCAAAGTATTTGTCACCTTTGCTTACAATGTGTGCACACTGAAGATTATATGTGTTCTGAGTGTTAAGCGCATTGCATTTCTCAGTCTATTTGTCACTGATGGATGCTTGACATTCCATTTCTGTTAAACGTTATCTCCCATTACATCTTTTAATTCTAACTATAGCATACTCGTCTACTGTCCCACTGAGCGGGACATCCCAAAATGATAGGCTCCACACTGGCTTCTGATGGGATCCTGGGATATCCTGCTTTGGTTTCTGCAAGAGTGTGGCCCCAAAGATGCCTGCTTTGGAGGGCCAGGATCTTGTGCAAGTCACCTGGCTCCCACGGGAGTGTGGCCCCAAAATATGCACGTTCTGATTTTCTTCTGTGGGATGTTGGAGGGAGGGTATGCTATGGTGATATTATGCATTTTTAAATGTCTTTTCCCAGCTGGGCATAAAACAAGGACTACAAGTCTTCTAGCCTGATATACAGTATATGTTTACTGAAAGGTGAATCCCACTGAACTCAAGGAATCTTACTCCCAAGTAAACATAAGCAGGATTGCAGGCCTTATCTGGTGTTATTAATCCCACATGCCTATGCAAGTATGATAAAACAGAAACATTATTTCTACCGCTTAAAGTTAGCAGATAATTCTTTTCAGGCTGAAACTGCAGGCAGGCAGCTGCACCTGATAGATCTTCTCAGAAATCTATGCAAATGTGACCCTTCTATAGTTTGCATTTTGCCTTGTGCTGTGTGTTGATGTGAAGCGTTCCAGATTCTGTATTTGCAAATGGGAAAAAGCACATTTTAAAAAACAACAACCAAGCACCCTTGATAAAGACAGTTGTTTCTGTTAGCTGTGAGGAACAGCAACTGAAAATTGTGGGCCTCATTCTGGAAACTGCTCTTTGCTTTCAGACATGTCGTCTCTGAGATTTTTAAATAAGTGAGCACATATTGATTGAACAAATAATTGATTAAGAGCCAAACAGTCGTCTAGAATATTGATTTTTTTAAAAAAATAATAATAATACAGCCATAAAGAACAACTTTTCTGAACAATCATGAATCGAAAATACAAAAAACCCACTAACTCCTATTTGGTGATGATAATAATATATTAGTTATGGCCAGTGCTATTTTTCTAGAAAAAGTGGTTCCAGGATTCACCATGGACACTTCCCTCGTTCTCTTAGAATGGAAATGGCGCCTACCTGAGAGATGCCGGAATGATATTGCTATTTGAGAAATCAGACTTGGGTACAGCCCATTCAGTTCTGTCTTCCTTGTCCTGTCCTGACTCAATTATATTTTTAGCTTTGGGTAACATTGCCAAGGCAAGTGCTGTGACACGATGAAGAAAAATGTTGCACAGTTAAGTTATGGAAACTATTCTCTGTCATCCTGTTGCAACAACACAGAGTAGCCAGACATGGAATACCAAGCCCTGGTCGAATTTCTCTGCTACTTTCCTACACTGCTTCACTTTAGAAAGATTTTGAATGTAAATATTGGAAATAAAACTGATTTATATACAGTATGGGAGACATACTATAATATCTGTAAACTGCTGTTTATGTGCGGCAGTGGAAGATATAGGGCATTATGTACTGTACTGTTCCTGTAGTCTAAACCACTGAGCCTCTTGGGCTTGCCGATTGGAAGGTCGGCGGTTTGAATCCCCGTGACGGAGTGAGCTCCCATTGTTCTGTCCCAGCTCCTGCCAACTTAGCAGTTCAAAAGCACACCAGTGCAAGTACAGTGGTACCTTGGTTGTCAAACGGCTTGGCCCCTGAACAAATCGGCTCCCAGACGCCGCAAACCCGGAAGTAAGTGTTCCGGTTTGCAAAGGTTTTTTGGAAGCCAAACATCCGACGCGGCTTCCAGTTGAGTGCAGGAAGCTCCTGCAGCCAATTGGAAGCTGTGCCTTGGTTTTTGAATGGTTCTAGGAGATGAAAGGACTCCCGGAATGGATTAAGTTAGAGATCCAAGGTACTGCTGTAGATAAATAGGTACCGCTGCAGCAGGAAGGTAAACGGCGTTTCCGTGCGCTCTGGTTTCCGTCACGGTGTTCCGTTGCACCAGAAGCAGTTTAGTCATGCTGGCCACTTGACCCAGAAAGCTGTCTGTGGGAAAATGCTGGCTCCCTCGGCCTGAAAACGAGATGAGCGCTGCAACCCCATAGCTGCCTTTAACTGAACTTAACCATCCAGGGATCCTTTACCTTTTACCTTTTACTGTTCCCAGGGATGGATTTCTCAAATGGATTCTTCAGAGAGTTTTCTTTTCTGAACTGTAGGGAGAAAATGTGTTACTTGCTGATAGATGGGGTTAACTATACTACATAAAAGGTTTCTGTGTTTGCTTTGGTAGACAAAATTTCATTGCACAACATGGGGCCCCCTGTGATAATGCTAGGTGGCGCTGTGGGTTAAACCACAGAGCCTAGGGCTTGCCAATCAGAAAGTCAGCAGTTCGAATCCCCGCAACGGGGTGAGCTCCCGTTGCTCAGTCCCAGCTCCTGCCAACCTAGCAGTTCGAAAGCATGCCATAGTGCAAGTAGATAAATAGGCAGCACTCCGGCGAGAAGGTAAACGGCGTTTCCATGTGCTGCTCTGGTTCGCCAGAAGCGGCTTAGTCATGCTGGCCACATGACCTGGAAGCTGTACGTCGGCTCCCTTGGCCAATAAAGCGAGATGAGCACTGCTACCACAGAGTTGTCTGCAACTAGACCTAACGGTCAGGGGTCCCTTTACCTTTACCTTGATCTAACTAGCCTCCCAACTGATGACCAAAGTTTTTAAGCAAATAATTTAAACTGTCCAACTGATATATGGAAGATAATTTGTATGAGGTTGTATCCAGCTCTGTTTGAAACTTCCTCTCCTCCGTCTGGCAGTCTTATGTTCCCCCCAATATCTGCTCTGAAGAGTTGTGGATCCTTTTGAGCAGATCTTGGGAAGGCTGCAGGAGGCTGCAGGAGGAGGAAAGGAAGAAGACCCATTGTGTGAGTGGATTCAACCCATAGTATTTAAGTACAGTCTCATGATTGCACAGTCACCTGAAGACAACTGATAAATAGCCCAATTTCTACATGCATATGTGGGCAAATGGTAAAACCTTATAGAAAAAAATTATAGGAATTAATGAAGTTTAATTGGAGTGATATATTATCCACACCAAGGTGTCAGAGCAGATAGCAATATATTAACTATCTTACCTTATCTCTATGTTGCACTATTTCTAGTAGTTTGAATGAACACGATCAACCAATAAAATAGAATGAAAAGCTCTTACACCATTTAAATAAGGCATGCTTTGATGAATCACCAGTGGAAAAGACTTCTAAAGTTGAGGACCTTCATGGTTCAGGATAATCTAAACAAATAATCTACGCAAAATAGGCATAAATGCCATGCCCCAAAGTAGAAAGGTTCTCCACATTTGAACCTGCCTACAGTCTTCAGTTTTAAAAGGCCTCATTACATGTCCTGGTACCATCACAGAGCACAATGTTCGTGGGCATCAAGGATTGGGTCTACTCAGTGCCAACTACATTGCGGGCATGTCTAACTTTCATGACTTCCAACAATTGTTTGGTTGTTGTTTTTCCTTATGGAATTTTTGTCTGTAGCCACAAATGAAGTTCAACAAGTAGTTGCGAAAAACAATTTGGCCAAAGTAATAAATTCCAGGGTGTGGCAAGGTGGGGTGCTTGTCATGCAAGAATATATTTTTAAAACAATGGAATGACCTACAATGACTCTATATCTATCATCTATCTATCTATATCATCTATCATCTATCTATCTATCTATCTATCTATCTATCTATCTATCTATCTCTAGCATCTAGTTATTTAATATATTTTTAGAATTATATCTATCTGCAGAATAGTTATAAACGAAGGAAACTAAAGGTCAATTTATGAAATGAAAATACAAATGTCTGCCTCCATTGAAGATAATATATACAGTGTGGATTGCTAGAATTCTCATATACTGTAAGATTTATGAGACATCGTCAGTCACATATGATTGGTTGAATGAGTATAGGTTGTCTTAGTTCAGTGATACTAATACCAAAACCTGGTATTAAACTGTTTTTGATATCCACTTATTAAACTTAAACTGTCACCCGTGATACATAGGCCTACACTTTCTTTCCTTATCTCCTCCATTTTAGCTCTAGGAAAACAGGCTATAAAATAATTTGTCTAACAAGAAGAATTGATATTCCCCTTTTTACAATGTACAGAACGAATTTATTTCCGCGGCCACGGTCTTTAAAGTGTCTCCGAAAATAGATGTGTAATTAAGCAGCTAAATTATTGTGTTATGAACATTTTTGGGGGGCCACCATATGTCACAAAACTCTCAGCCCATTTATCACCAGCTGCTTCCATTAATTCAGCATTGCTTGCCCTTGGCTCAATGAGATTCTGTAGTTTTGCATTTTGAATTGAATAATATACAAAGAACTGAATGGCTATGGCGATAGGCAGACTTGACTTCCTCGTTTGATATATCCCCCCCCCCCCCCGGTTGTCCTGTTGGTGTTTTCAGTTTCATTTTAAAAACCACACACCAGTGTATTTCCCCCCAAAATACACAAGCTTCACGAAATCTCTGTGGTTGTTTTTTTTTAAGCAGGAAGGATTCTGAATCCTTAAACTGGCCCTGGCCTAGGAATGCTCAAATGAGCTTTCTTTCTTGTGTCTGTTTCTACTTTGGTGAACTTGGTTGTTATCTAGCGAAACCGTATAATTATCTAGAAGAATCTTGGCTACAGTTCAGCACACCATTTTATGAACCATTTCCATTCCCCAAGTAAACGAACTTATTAACCGCACACGTATACTGTATACTTATTAACCGTATACACGTATACTTAACGTTATTATATTCCAAGATCATCCGATAGGATTTGGCGTTCAAGTCTAATGAAAGACATACGGCGTCTTAGATCACTAAGGCACAGGAAGCCGTGTTAGAATAAATGATCAGCTTTGGTGATGAAGAAAATGAAAATGGGAGGCAGGGACGGGACTTCATAAAATGGCCTTGTGTTGTAAGGATGTTTTTGAAAAATCCTCTTTCTGTATCTTTCCTGCCTTCCCCTGATAACCTCTAGTTTATCGTGGCTTCTGGTCTGTTCTCATGTTGCTGGGAGTGGTCACTGTGGTCGTGGCGAGCTTCTTCATCATCTGCGCTGCACCCTTTGGTAGCCACGCATTGTACAAAGTTGGGGGAGGCTTTTTCATCACTGCTGGTAAGTGTTAAACGTTTCAATCCAAATTCAACCACCCCTGCTCCTTTAAAAAAACACAAAAAACACCTTGCAACATTTGGCCTAGAATTGTGGGTTTGGCTTTTTTTTAAAAAAACAAAACAGAACAAAACAAAAATGCACATCAAGGGAATTCTGCGTGCTATTTTGGAGGTTTTCTGGCAGAAGGCTCGCAGAAGAAAATGGGAACTGGGGAAGAATTGGGAGAGTTCATGTTGCAGCTATGGTTCGCTTCAATAGGTCTAGACCAGGCATAGGCAAAGCCCGGCCCTCCAGATGTTTGGGACTACAATTCCCATCATCCCTAGTTAACAGGACCAGTGGTCAGGGATGGTGGGAACTGTAGTCCCAAACATCTGGAGGGCCGAAGTTGGCCTATGCCTGGTCTAGGGCAAATAATAATAATAATAATAATAATAATAATAATAATAATAGAATCATAGGATAATAGAATTGTAGAGCTGGAAGGGTCATCTAGTCCAATCTCCTGCAATGCATAATAATTTTATGTAATTATGTAATATATGTGTAATCGTACTAATAATTTATATAATGCAAGAAGGGCACACAAGATATTATTAAGTGGTAATAAAGTAGGATGGTTCTAGGATTGATCTAGCGTTCTGAATCCGTCTTCCAACACTACATAAGACATTCATTCCCAGGCCTTCGTGGTTAGAAGGATTATAATGTCAAGAAAAGGGAACAGTGCCAAGGCCACACTGTCATGGAATCACAGAATTGTACAATTGGTAGCAACCACGAGGGTCATCTAGTCAAACGACCTGCAATGCAGGAATCTCTTTTTGCCCAGCGTGGGGCTCAAACCCACAACCCTGAGAGTAAGAGTCTCACGGTCTAAATCTGGGAAAGCTTTTTCATGTAGTTTTCTTGGTGGTCTGTGTGATTTGCCTGTGAGGACCAGTATGTCAAGAAAATGCTTGGCTTGGGTTTAGAACACCTGAAAAGAAATTCCTACTTGCCCAAGAAAGCTTATTGCTATTGTCTCTAATCTCTGTTTCTTTAATCAATAAGATGGTAATAATAGACAATATAAAGCACTTTCTGGACTAAGTATTGGAGGAAATGTTTGCATTGTGGCTCTGCTTTTGCAAGATGTGCTTTTGTAGTTTGTGGCCAGTGTCTGTTTGCACATAATCCAAGAATTCATGCCCAATGCATCAGCGTAGCAGTTTGGTACTGTTCAGAATCTCCTGCTTTTCAGTTCCTGTTGATATGCATTATTTCAAAGTATTTGGAGCAGGGATGGGAGACCACAGGTTTATGGGCCAAATGTCGCCCTCCAGGACTCCTTATCCGACCCTTGAGCCCAGGCAATATTCCCCTCATAGGCCACCCCCCCTTTCCTCAGCCCCTCCTTGCCAGCCCTGATCCATGCCCACCCTGACTGCTTTTGCCTGACTAGAACGTGTCCTTGAGCTGTGGCAGTGCCTCTTGCTTGTCTGTGTTGAGAGATTTGTGTGTAGAAACCTCCGACATTGGCATGGCTGAAACATGGCCTACAGTACAAAAGTAGGAATCACAGCTGTCGCCCTGCCCTATGGCACCAGCCAACACTGGTATGTGACCCATGTCCTTCAACATTTTGAGTCCCAAAAACAGGACGCATGTCTTCTTGCCCATGCTCCTGCGTGAGTCACATGATCTGCGCAAGGATCCAAAAGACACTTTTTTTTCCTGGGACGTGCATGCATAGCACCCAAAAACGTGTTTTATGGGGGGCATCACACAAGATCATGGTGTTTTTTTGGAGCAAAATCTCGGTGCAAAATTGCACGAGATGACAGTACTCAAAATGGCTGCCATGCTCTCTTGTGAGAAAATGGGATGTCCTGTTTTTTTCTGGGATGCTTGTGGGGTATTGTGCGGGGGGCCCCAGATTACTCATGGTGAGATGTGGCCCTCAAACTAAAAAAAGCTTCCCCCTCCCTGATTGAGAGGTACTCTGTTGTCTAGACTGTATTCAAATCTAGAGGGCCACATGCAAAGCCCTCAAGCCAGAATAATTGTCAAGAAATTATTCTCTCTGCTCCCAACCATGACGACTGATTGTATGGGGGCAAATCCATTTATTCTCAGGGAGCTTCTGGTTTACAATTTGAATGCAGCAAGGTTTGTAATTGAAACATTTCCGCTGAGATCCTATAGCCACTTAACCTGAGATTAAGCCCCTGGAATTTACATTCTGAGTTTACCTGTACAGAAGTGCGCTGCGAGTCTCATGTATGGGGTGCAAACCACCAACACCCTAATGCCAGGCACAAACTGGAATTTGCTCCCACAAGAGGAAATGATGGCCACCAACTTGGATGTCTTTGCAAGAGGGTTGGACAAGCTGATGGACAATAAAGCTATCCAAATCTAGCCATGACAGCTGTGTTTTACCCCCACTGTTGGAGGTACTTTGCCTCTGAATCAGAGATGGAGACAATGCTGTTCTGCTCAGATCCTTCCTTCAGGCTTCCCGTTGACATCTGGTTGGCCACTGTGCGAACAGGATGCCACTGGCCTCATCCTGCAGGGCTTTTCTTATGTTCTTGTGTTCAGAGTAGAGACTTGAGTTGGCAGCAAAGGACCTTCAACCGTGCAAGTCTTCTGAGGTTGGTGCAAAAACGCCTGCTTCGGTTTCTGTTCCTTGCCTGCTGTTCCCTAGGCCTGTTCAGCCACTTGTTTGTGGAACACTTTGGTTCCTTCTATTCGTCTCTATCATTACAGAGACAGCTGTGCGAATAGTTTTTTCTTCTCCTTTTGCTACTAAGCTCATGCTAAATTACACCCTCAGATTTTCTGCCAGCCTCTCGCTGCAGTAACTTGGATCTTACGAAAAGTCTCAACAGCGGAACTTCTCGGTTATTGACTCGCGTAGAGAAAGTATCAGTACGTAGCCCGACGACACCCACAGTGGGAGCAAAGTCTGCGAGGTAAACCTGTGAGCAAAACAATTGCTTACAAATCAGCATAGTTCTACATTTACCAGCGGCACCCGCCTGAGGCTCCTGTCACTCTCTACAGCACCTGTTGACTTCTTGTCTGCGCAGTGGAAGCTTTGTGCCATAAACAGCCATTCACAGCTGAGGAGCAAAAGACATTTTGCTGTGCAGGAAGAACAAGGAAGGCCTGAAAATTGCTCTTGAATTCCTAGGCATTTATAAAGATTCTGTGTTCTTTTTCTCTTCCCGCAATGAGCAGAAGTGTGTGTGTGTGTGTGTGTGTGTGTGCATGAAACAGATTAAAAAGAATAAATGTTAATGGCAGAAATGACTGACCTCCGAGGAGCCTGGGTCTTATCTCATTCCACAGTGCTGTGTATCAAACATGGGCCTCCTTTAAAAATAAAATAGGAAAATAGAAAAGGCACGGGGAGAGGGGAAAAAAAGAATGAAAGTGCTTATTTATCCTAATCTCTCTGAGACATATATTTTACTTTTTAAAAATAATTGCCCCCAGTCGCTTGTGATTCACTGCAGCTTTTTTCTTTTTTTAAAAAAATCCTGTTTGACTAAACAACAGATATTTGTGCCCCAAGCAAAGGTCTAACAAGCTGAAAACGAAGAAATATGTTTGCAGCCGGAAATGTTTCTAAAAATGCTTGCTTCTTGAAGTTGATGGCAGGGATGAGGTTAATCTCAGCCACCGGGCTCGAAAACACGGCCCTTCCTGACAATTGTCAGCATGAGAGGCTGAGAACAGCCTTCCCAAAATAAATACATTCCGTTTGACACGTCCCGCTTCATAATGAACTGACATTGCAATTAGACTTGCAGTAGATCCTCTCCTGCCTTTCAAAGCATGATAAATGTTCTGAAAGAAGAAAGGCAAGAAAGAAAGGCAGGCAAACAGAGATAGCTTAAGGTTACAGGAAGTGGCTTCAGCAAGTTATGATGTGACTGGATGTTAGTTCCTAAATAGTAGTTTTACGAAGATGACGCTGGATGCATGCCTAGTGGGATAGGACCCTATCATATGTACATTTGCTCTGTATGGCACTTCATCTGAACTCTGCTCATGTCCATATTGGTCCCTATTCACCACATTTCCCCCCAGCTTTCAATGCTATTGAGGACACACCGATATCAAGCTGATTGTGGGGTGCAGTTTGACAGTGACTTATTGCAAACCTGCATGTGTGCGGGTTCCCAGAGAGATGATCACGGCTGCCGTTCTCCTCCTTTGGCCCTCTTGCTGCTGTTCTGCCATGAGCTGAGCGATGGTTTGGCTTCGTGCGGCCTCTGAGCATGGGTGTCACACAAACCACAAGCTGTGAGGAAGTTTTGTTCTTGGGTTTGCAGCTCATGGTTTGTCTGGTGGAGACAAACCATTTGTGCTAAGGCTTGGTTTGGCTTAGTGTTAGGGGGAAACTTGACCGTTGTCCTTCACTGGCTATACCAAGCATTTCTCAAGCAAACTGAGCCATCATATATCTTTACTAAAACTTATTTTTTCCCTCCTTCCTTCAGGTATTGTCTTCACATTGGTGGTAATCCTTTACGTCATCTGGGTCCAGGCAATGGCTGATCTTGAAAACTATGTGAATATGAAGAAAATAGACTGTCCTGATTTTTCTGTCTATGTGCGTTATGGCTGGTCTTTTATACTGGCTCTAGTTGGAATTTTTTTTACCATGTTTTCAGGAATGCTGTTCCTACTGGTAGGGCGTACAATTTATCTGCACTCTGATTAATCAGATGTCGGCTGTTTGAAATGTTGGAATTATGGCGAGGTTTTGCTGAAAAGCTATTTTTATACATTATCCCTCTTATAGCCATGTGTTTGCTGGTGCTATTCTAGATCTGCTTACGTAGCTAATGCAATCCCATGCATATCTACTCAGATGTAAGTCCTACTGAGTTCAGCGAAGCTTATATCCAGGTACGTCCTTATAGGATTTGCGGTCTCAGTTATATATCCTTGTCATAAAGGAATAGTGACATAAATTAGACTGTTCAAATTCCTTCAGATCTTGATGAACTGCATGCAACACACGAGATATTTTGCAACTTCATGTCTCTGTGTTGAACGCACTGGGGGTCAGATAAAAATATGAAATGATTCATATAAGAATTTTGGCTTAGGGCCAATTCAACCATTATCTTCTTAATGAAGGAATATGCAATGAAACCACACCTCCTGCTCATCTATATTAGCCACAGAAGAAGGGAATGGGAAGCACAGGCTGTAGATCACCCTTCCAGTAGTCGCCTAGCATTCACCTTGTGCCAATGTGCCATTCTTTTAGCAAGGCCAGAACTCTTGCCTCTTGCTTGCCACAAATCTAGTCTCAAGTGACAGTGCTTGGCTCATCTTAACAATGGCTACTTTCCTTTGATGTACGATTGTATTTCTCCATGCTCAGAGTCTCCTTCCAAGGGGAAGGTTTGTGTGCTTCGATAGGAATCGTCATGGTTGGTAAGTGAGGTGCAGGTGTTAACGCTGGCTAGGTTTGTGATGAGCGCAGGATCTGGTCGTGGCAAGGCAACGGGAAAGTGAATGCTGTAACTCCCATCTGCAAGCAACTGTGCTGCTTCCTGGAAGAATGAAACCTATTCCCATCTCCCTGTGGCTAACCTAAGCAAAAGTAAACTCAGTCATGTGTGTTCCCTCATTAGGAAAGGAAATGTGTGAATTAGTCCTGGTTCTGCTTATGCAGAACAAAGCAAGTGTCCACAGAATCCCTTAATCACCCATTATTTATTCTTTCGGTATTTGGCATTAGCTTTAATATGAACAAATATTTCTGCAGTTGCCCATGTATTGCTTTAGCCAATGTGGCAGTAGTACAGAAGGCCAGGTCGCTGAATTAGTGCTGTGGTGCTGCTATGAATACAGAACTGTTTGTATGCTTTCATGTGGTCCAAGTCATAAACATTCAGTGTAATGGAACTGGGAAGTTTATGGGTCATTTAGTTCAGTTCTCTGGAATAGCAGATTCCCCTTTCCCCCGTGGGCTTAACAACAATACATGCTTTTCTGCTGTCCGTTGTATATTTTTAATTATTTTTGCTTCCCTCTGTACTTTATGGCTTGACTTGTTTGGCCAAGTCACCTTGACTGGTGTCCATCAGTCACCTTCTTGCAGCCAGCCTGCTTTCTTCTTTTGACATACAAGGAAATCTGGGAACCATGCAACGGATATGTGAAATCTCACAATGTGAAAAGGGTATCTGAAACCTGCTGACAATGTGAGAAGCTTGCCACTTCCACCACACATGGATGCCTGGACCTCTGAAGAAGCAGGAAGTGTGGTAATGTGTGTCCTTCCAAATTAGCTGGAGACTGTCAATAACTCTGCCCCTTTCCCTTAATATCTATAGGCCGCTGATGGAGAAACGGCCCGGCCTTTCAGCCAAGCCTGGTGTTGGCACCTGGAATCTCTGGCCCAATTGCCAGCCCTGCACCCCCATTTTTTCCTCGTCTGACACTCTAGCCACCTTTTTAATTTCCCATGATGCTTCTGGTGTAGCACTCTTCTGGGGCATTGAGAGAAATTTAAAGGCTGACCAGGCCTTGTTGTTCAGTGCTGTTGGAGGGCTGCCATCACAAGCCCACCAGGAACCACTGACAGGGAAGGCGGCCCACCAGAAGCTACTTTGTCCAAAGAGGAGTCATGCTTGCTGTGTTGAGTGCAACTACATGGCCCTGTATACCTGAAGGAGCATCTTCACCCCCATCGTTCAGCCCAGACACTGAGGTCTAGCTCCAAGGGCCTTCTGGTGGTTCCCTCATTGAGAGAAGTGAGGTTACAGGGAACCAGGCAGGGGGCCTTCTCAGTAGTGGCACCCACTCTGTGGAATGCCCTCCCATCAGATGTCAAGATGATACGACCTTTAGAAGACATCTGAAGGTAGCCCTGTATATGGAAGACTTTTAATGTGTAATGTTTTATTATGTTTTTATATATGTTGGAAGCCGCCCAGAGTGGCTGGGGCAACCCAGTCAGATAGGCGGGGTACAAATAATAAAATTATTATTAATATTATTGTTATTATTATTGGTATTTGCTCCCTTCAAATTCTTGCGATTCTGTAGTTATCCTGTTTCTTATTAAAGCCATCCAACCAGACAAAGACCTTCCATAAGTTTACTAAGCAACTTGCTCTATAGGCTACATTTTATTTGCAGTATGCAAATAAAATGTATGATGATGTACAATACGACTTACTTATAAATAAATTTGTGGAAGTCCGGTAGCCCAGTCCAGGAATTCCATGCAGCTCCATTTCTCAGTCTCCCAAGCGCTTATTCCCTTTGAAGTGACTGGGGAATCTCCATGTCCAGAAGTTCTATTTGTGTCTATCAGAGCCTGAGAGAGAGAGAGAGAGAGCTTCAGATCCTCATCAGCTTTATATTTATTGCATGATCTGTCCCAGGAGGATGGGATTAACAACTCACAAGTCTGCCAAATCCACATCCTTAAAATCCGGGCAGATTTTTCAAAGATAGACTCCTTCTTTCAGCATTACATGATGACTGGATACCTTTAAACATATAAATATATATATATTCGACATGTGTTTTTATGTAAAAATGGCTTGCTATGTTCTACTTTTTTAAAAAAATAAAAAGTTAATTAAGAAAAGATCAGCACAAAGGAAGCTTTCTTCCCCACCACTCCCTCCAGCCAATCCATGAAGTTGAATTCCATTATTTTAGCACACTCTGTCATTTGCTTCTCTGTGTACTTTGCTTATTTTAGTTGCTATGGTTATATTCTATCTTATCCCCCCCCCATGGATTTCCAGGTGGTGTCCAGTGTTTCCAAGCCATTTCCCGTTCAGTGACTGGCCACATCTAGACATACAGCACAATTCAAAGTGTTGGTGCTGACCTTGAAAGCCCTAAACGGCCTCGACCCTGTATACTTGAAGGAGTGTCCCCACCCCCATCGTTCAGCCCAGACACTGAGATCCAGCACTGAGGGCCTTCTGGCGGTTCCCTCACTGTGAGAAGAGAGGTTACAGGGAACCAGGCAGAGGGCCTTCTCGGTGGTGGCGCCCATCCTGTGGAATGCCCTCCCATCAGATGTCAAGGAAATAAGTAGTAGGTGTGTGGCAGACAGAGGGAAAAGGAGCATCTTGTGCTAGTGGAGCCAGACATTTTGCTGTTGGAGGTGGATTACCAAATGAGAAACCCATCTTCCACACTAGGGGTAGATCTACACACAGGAAAAAAACATGCTATAAATAAGTCTGAAATAAAACCGTTATAACAAAAGGAAAAAAACACTATGGAAAATTGCATTGTTTGTTTTTTTGCTCTCCAGCGTCATCTGGTGTTGCATGTTTATGAGGAATTCGGGTGGCGCTGTGCTCTAAACCACTGAGCTTCTTGAGCTTGCTGTTCGGAAGGTTGGCGATTCGAATCTCGGTGATGGGGTGAGCTCCCATTGCTCTGTCTCAGCTGCTGCCAACCTAGCAGTTCGAAAGCATACCAGTGCAAGTAGATAAATAGGTATTGCTGCGGCGGGAAGGTAAATGGTGTTTCCGTGAGCTCTGGCCCTCATCACGGTCCTCCATGCGCCAATAGCGGTTTGGTCATGCTGGCTGCATGACCCAGAAAGGTGTCTTCAGACAAACAGCGGCTCCCTCAGCCTGAAAAGCAAGAGGAGCGCCACACCCCATAGTCGCTTTTGACTGGACTTAACTGTTTGGGGTCCCTTACCAGCATTCAAAATGCTGTTTTTTGACTAATGTAGCTGAGTCCTTAGTCAAGGTACACAGTATCTAAAGCTGGTCAAGTTGTCGCAACCTATGAGGTAAAAGATCCCGCAAGCATCACTCTTCTTTCATTGCAGTAAAATATAATAATAATAATAATAATAATAATAATAATAATAATACAATATTGAGCAATCTGGTACCTTTTCATGACACCCCAAATCAGCTGCCCTTATGTACACTGAGCGAGTGAGTGACCATCACCACCTTATGAAGCCAAACTCTGTCCCCCACAGCTGTTTCTGGGCATTGCCAGTGCTGGAAAATTGCACAAGACAGTGCAGGATACCAACCACCAGCTGGAAACATAGGTGCTGACTCCTAGCGACCAAGGCAGTTTCAGTTCCCCGAATTTTATTTTTAGGGGACTGGGCCCCCTCAATATTCAGAGGACGTTGTGCGACGTCATGTGCGTGACGATGGTTCTGGTTAAAATTGAGCTGATCTAAAAATGTGATAAAGTTACACAGTCCGCATGATATTATGCTGGTTTTGTAGTGAACTCTGCTTCGTTCCACAGCTGTTCTGAATAGTGAAATCAACAAAACAGCGACCACCTAAGAGTTGCGGTAAGCTAGCTGGGATCTCTCTCCCAACCGAGCACATTCTGCAATTGGGAAATATCCAGAATTTCCCCCCGCTATTTATTCCATTTTCAAGATTAGCCCCTTTTGCTTTAGAATGCAGCTCGGAGGTGGTAATCGGAAAGTCATGAAAATAATTTCGCAGAGGCCTAACATGATTTTGCAATTATTCTGCTAACTCAGTGCAGCGCATGGCCATATATCAAGGCTATTTGATAACTTTGTTATTCCTCATGCATCTGTTTCCAGCCACTTGCAGGCTTCCTATAGGCATCTGTTGAGCCATTGCAAGAACAAGGATGCTGGACTAGAAGGGCCATTGGCCTGATCCTGCGGGCTCTTCCTATGTTCTTAGCTTTGACAAAGTGGCAGGATCAGACTATGCCCTTGTTGCTAATTGGCTGGCGCCCATATTGTTTGTGAGCCATTATCTACTTAGCACAAGTACTTGCGCATAATACTGCCTCTCTCTCCCAGTGGAAATAAGCCCTCTTAAATAGTTACGGATTTATTGATTCATAAGAAAGTCACTGACACCTTGTAGACAATTTCAAAAGTATTTCCCTTGGTTCATTAACTTCTAGGTGCTCTTCTGGAGTTCTTGCTGAGTCTTTCATTAGATTCCTGGTAATTTATTGAGGTGTAAGTGAAAAAGGCAAGGGACTCATCTCATTTAACAGGGAAGAAAGCTGGAAAGTTATTGTTTCTCGGTCTAACTTCATCAGGGTGTCTGTTAATTGTGAAACCCCCCGAATGCCCCAGGTTATGCTAGTCAACTGTTAACAGAAGGACTCCTAGTAGTGCAGCAATAAATCTGTTAGCACATTTGGCAAAGCTAAGCAGGATCTGGTATGGTTTCACACTGGAAGGGAGACCACATGTTGAGATCTCTCGGTGGACTAGATGACCCTTGGAGTCTCTTCCAACTATATGATTCTATGACTCCAATGATATCAGTGGTGTTTTCATGCCACACAGATGCCTTGCTTTTATTTTTTTTTAACTAAAGTGAAAGAATAGCATCTAGAATTCCCCTCTTCTGGTTTTGCTTGAGTAAAACATGCAAGTATTTCTAGTATTCTACTAATAAAGTCAACATATCCCGCCCCCTTTTACTGACCCCAACACATCTTGCTTACAGACTTTGAAAGCACTCAAAAGTGCTGACAGATGAGGGTCAAAATAAGTTGAGTGAAAAGTCCTGCCACATTCCCATTCATTGGTAAGACACAGCTCTGTGACAGTAAGGTCCCCCATCATCACTGAGGCTGCCTCTCTTCTCATTTCCAGTTCCAGCTACAATCTAATGTACTGTAAGTGTTCTCTAAAGTACAGGAGCTCCAGTCCCAAATACAAGCAGTTGGCATTGCTCCTAATGCACCCTGTGTATTTTTTACTGGCTAAGCATGGCATGAAGCATTGAAACAGATGTCCCATAGTCCATCAGATTGCAGTGGGACAGCTTGAGCAGGATAGAGTCGGTTCTAGTATTGCGAAACACTTCATCTCAAATCACTTACAGATTAACCCTACTTGGACGTAAGTCCCATTTACGGTAGTTCCAGAATGCATAGGATTACAGCTTTAAATCTTTTCTGTGGTCTAGTTCTTAGATACCCCACCACATAATTGTGGCTACTTCTGGGACCCTATGCAGATCCTCTAAGTGTCCTTATTTTTCAGGAACAGTCCCAGATTTACAGAAGCCATCCTGGTTTCTGATTTGATCCCAGAATGTCCTGCTTTTCCTTAGGACATCCCTATTTTCATTGCAGGACGCGGGTGGCGCTGTGGGTTAAACCACAGAGCCTAGGACTTGCCGATCAGAAGGTTGGAAGTTCAAATCCCCGCGATGGGGTGAGCTCCTGTTGCTCGGTCCCTGCTCCTGCCAACCTAGCAGTTCGAAAGCACGTCAAAGTGCAAGTAGATAAATAGGTACCACTCCGGCGGGAAGGTAAATGGCGTTTCCGTGCGCTGCTCTGGTTTGCCAGAAGTGGCTTAGTCATGCTGGTCACATGACGCGGAAGGTGTACGCCGGCTCCCTTGGCCAATAAAGCGAGATGAGCACTGCAACCCCAGAGTCGGCCACGACTGGACCTAATGGTCAGGGGTCCCTTTACCTTTACCTATTTTCATTGCAGAAATGTTGGAGGGGATGGCCATGGCTCTCCTGGAGCATAGGAACTTGCATTATATAAAGTCAGACATAATTTGTCCATTTAGTCCAATGTAAAAAGTAAAGGTAAAGGACACCTGGACTGTTAAGTCCAGGCAAAGGCGACTATGGGGTTGCAGCGCTCATCTTGCTTTCAGGCCAAGGGAGCTGGCGTTTGTCCGTAGACAGCTTTCCGGGTCATGTGGCCAGTGCGACTAAACCGCTTCTGGCACAACGGAACACAGTGATAGAAACCAGAGAGCACAGAAACGTCGTTTACCTTCCTGCCACAGTGCTACCTGTTTATCTACTTGCACTAGTGTGCTTTTGAACTGCTAGGTTGGCAGGAGCTGGGACAGAGCAACGGGAGCTCACCCCGTCGTGGGGATTCGAACCACCGATCTTCTGATCAGCAAGCCCAAGAGGCTCAGTGGTTTAGACCACAGCGCCGCCCGCATGCCTATCTGGACAGGTACACTCAAAGACCCTACCTGATCCTTTTAGCTGGAGATGTTAGGGACTGAACCTAGGAACTTTCTGTACGCAGTGTTCATGCTCTGCCCTGAGAAAAGAACAATTTGCCTGAATTAAATGGCCAGCTCTTGAGGGAGACTGAAAAAGTACAGGAGCGCGAAACTTAGGGGAGTTGTATGGAAAAACATTCCTTTTCTACACCAGCATGGCTTGATGTTATGTGGCTCTGCTTTGAAAGAGATCATTCGCACTGCAACACATTTAATGGTGCCAGTCACCACATGGTATATTTGGCAGCTATTTTAAGCTCAGATCACATTACCCCATTGCAGCAGTTGGCACCGGCTTCCCCAACTAGCATGCGACTGATCTAAACAGAAATCATCTTACACATTTTTGTTCTCTGAAATTAAATTTGACGGCATGAGCCCTATGATCCTCCCCCCCCCTTTCCTTTTCTTTTTGGTATGTTATTACTTTTTGGAACAGTGTTTTGCTAGCACCACAGGGGAAATTCCACAAGGTTGTCAGTCAGATATAGTGAATTATCAGATACATTAGCTTTTCTTCCCTCTTACATTTGCTTAAGAGCTTATAGACCACAGAGAATAAAAAAAGAAGTGCTAAACAGAATGAAATGAACTGTCAAGGGTATTTGTGAATGACTTAGAGAATTCTGCCAGCTTCCAAACACACGGGCCTGTATCTCTTAGTTTATATAATAAACATGGGTGGAGATCTTTGGGTGGTTAGTTATACAGTGGTACCTCTGGTTAAGTACTTATTTCGTTCCAGAGGTCCGCTCTTAACCTGAAACTGTTCTTAACCTGAAGCACCACTTTAGCTAATGGGGCCTCCTGCTGCTGCCACGCCACCGGAGCATGATTTCTGTTCTTAACCTGAAGCAAAGTTCTTAACCTGAAGCACTATTTCTGGGTTAGCGGAGTGTATGTAACCTGAAGTGTATGTAACCCGAGTTACTGATATATACCGGTAAATCTCCGGGGGATTGGGATTGGTGGACTACTGTTTTAAAATGAGAAAGAAGTGTCAGAATTACATTTTGAATACTATGTATGCCGTAACCACATGCTGTGTATTCTCCACATCGCAAATCATGGATTTGGTGAGGGGAAAGTACAGAAACAAACAACATAAATGATCAAGGGACATGAGGATCTTTCCTATAAGGAAAGGCTAAGAAGTCTGGTTCCTTTAAGTCTAGGAAATAAAATAGGATAGTGAAAGAGGGGGACACAAATATGATAGAGGTCTATACAGTTGTACCTCAGAAGTGGAATGGAATTCCGGAAGTCTGTTCGACTTCCAAAATGTTTGGAAACGGGTTTGTGGCATTCGGGAGCCAAAATGTTCAACTCGCAAGGCGTTTGGGATCCAAGGTACGACTGCAAAACTATGTGTGGAATAGAGAGGTTGTACTGTGTGAAATATTATAAGTCCTTGAGACTGATTGGTTCACCATAGACAGAAGGAGGACATACTTCACCCAGCGCCAGATTTAGTTTTGATGAGGCC